CCCGGATACCCGCCAGGCCGCGCCGGATGATGAGAGCCTAGGTAGGTACGAACGGGGATTAAGCTCGCTCGCTCCTCACGCGGTCTCGACATCTGTCAGGGACGCCATTCCTGATCGTCCTGCGTGTGTCGATCGAGACACACAGACACTCTCACGGCAGGCAGGTGGAGCGCGCGCGCGTCCAGGCCCTGCGCGCCTGTGATCATGAGGCTAAGACACGGCTAAGGCACGGCTAAGGCACGGCAGACAGGACGGCGACGACGACAGTAGGACCTGCCTACAGTACAGAGCCTTTTTCAGAAGCCGAGACAGCGCCCGCGGCGGGCGGCGTTCGGTCGTCCTAGGTCTCTTCGTCCTCCGAAGGGGCGCACGGTTGCGCCGTCACGCCGTCGATGTCCACGCCCACACCACAGCACACCTCACCGCGAGACGGCGGCTGCAGAGGGGAACACGTTGGCGCTTGGACCTTGGCGGGGGAGCGGGAGCAGGAGAGCAGCAGCAGCAGCAGCAGCAGCAGCAGCAGGGTGGCAGGATCAGATCCGCCCCCTCTGTGCGACGCAGGGCATGGGTTAGGCGAGGCCGCAAACCGGGGCGCGACGAAAGGCTTGGTTCAGGCGGCTGCAACCCGGGCGAGAACGAGGCAACGGCGGCGGCGGCGGCGGCGACATACGAGCTGACGGGCAGCGGCGGAGGCAGAGGCGTCGTCGACGACGAGGGCAAACGCTGAAGGAGAGGGGGGGTGGATCAGGCCAGGAGAAGCTGGCAAGACGGACGACTGTGGTGAAACGAAGCCGTCGGGGTGCTGCAGAAGGGCAGGAGTAAGATGCGGCTCTAGGCACGGCCACGGACTTTTGATCGACGGGCAAAATGTGGGGAGAGGGCGTGCAAGTGACAAGTCGAGCCGAATGGCGCAATACGCCAGGACACGGGCCGTGTCGAGCGATGAGGCGTGCCAGGAGCGTGCGAAGGATGGAAGGATGGCAGAAGTGGTGACGCCGGCGGGTAAACCACAAACTCAAAAGCAAAAGAAAAAAGGAGGGACCTGTGGCGGCGGGAGGGCCTGTTTCACCTTTCTCCTCTGGCGCCTCCGATTGGCGCTGCGGCGCAGGGCTGAAAAGTGAAAATCCTCCAGCTTCTGGCTGTGCAGGGGCCGTTTGATTAGCACTGGGCCTTTGTCTGCTGCAGCTGCAAGCTGCACTCACCAATGCCTCTGTTTATATAAGTTGCTTCACCTTCCCTTCCACTTCTACTTCCTCAGCATCCGCCCTCGTCCTTCCACGTTCTTTTCTCTCCCCGCGTTCTTGCAATTGGCAGTCGATCTGTCCATTCCTTTCGTTATATTGCCCAAAACCGTTGCTTCTTTGAGAACTTGTTCCCCCGTTGACCGAGGTTTCAATCAATCACTCAACAACAATCACCATGAAGGCTTCCGTTCTTGCTGTTACTTTGGCCTCGGCCATTGCCGTCGAGGCCCACACCATCTTCACCACGCTCTGGGTCGACGGCGTCTCGCAGGGCGACGGCGTCGGCATCCGCATGCGCAAGGAGCCCGAGATTGCCGCCAACCCCATCGCCCTCTCCGATGACGCCATGGCCTGCGGCTACGACGGCCAGTCCGGCAACCCACGTGTCATCACGGTCAACGACGGCGTCAACCTCGGCTTCGAGTGGCGTGCCTGGGGCAGCATTCCCAGCAAGGGCGCCATCGACCCTGGCCACAAGGGCCCGTGTGCCGTCTACCTGAAGAAGGTCGACTCGGCCATCAACGACACTGGTATGTACCCCACGTTCTGCTGCCCCACCTGTTCCCTTGCCACGTGGGTGGGGGACGGGAGGGGTCCAATCATTCTTTCAATCGTTCAGTCACTGACATGACCTCCCCTCTCTAGCCACCGGCGACGGCTGGTTCAAGATCTGGGACGAGGGCTACAACGAGGCCAACGACCAATGGTGCACGGAGAAGCTGGGCGGCCCCAACGGCGGCGGCGAGTACGAGCACAAGCTATCCGTGAACCTGCCCACGGGCCTCGAGCCGGGGTACTACCTGGCGCGGCCGGAGTTGCTGGCGCTGCACAACGCGGTAGCGTCGCCGCCCGACCCGCAGTTCTACACGGGCTGTGCCCAGATCTTCATCAAGGGCACCGGCGACAAGAAGCCCAAGGACACGGTCTCGATCCCCGGCGACGTCAAGTCCTCGGACAAGGCCGTCACCTTCAACATCTACGACTCGCCGCTCAAGCTGCCCTACGACACGCCCGGCCCCAAGGTCGCGACGCTCGTCAGCGGCGGCGCGTCCGGCGGCTCGGAGACGACGACGCAGACCGAGGGACTGGAGCCCGACGGCTGCATCATGGAGATGGCGGGCTGGTGCGGCTACGAAGTGCCGTCGTACACGGACGAGGCGGGCTGCTGGGCCTCTGGCCAAAAATGCTGGGACCAAGTCGACGCCTGCTGGGACTACGCCAAGCAGCTCCCTACCACCGGCACGCCGTGGTGCAACACGTTCAACGACAAGTGCCAGGCCATCGACGACCAGTGCAACGCCAAGAACTACAACGGCCCGCCCAACAAGGGCAAGATCCTGACGCCGTCGAACCCGACCTCGGCCGTCGTCGCCGTCGCCTCGACCAGCAACTACGAGTCCAGTGGCAGCGCGGCCACGTCCGCCGCGGCTGTCGTCAAGGACGCTGCTGTGGCTGTGAGCAGTGCTAGTGCTGGGCAGCCGACCACGCTGGCGACGAGCTTTGTGCTTGCGGCCGCGTCGACCAAGGCCACTGTTGAGACCAGCCAGGCTACCCAGCAGCAGCAGGAGACCACCGCTACCACCGCCGCCGCCACTACTGCCGCGCCCGCCGGCGGCTTCCACAACCACGCGTACAAGCACCAGCACCAGCACCAGAACCAGAACCAGCAGAACAATGACAATGGCAATGCCGCCGCCGCGCAGGTCCACACCGTCTGGCAGACCAAGTACGAGACGCGCTTCGAGACGCGCACTGTCTAGTCGTTTCTTCCCCTTCTTCCCCTTCTTCACCTTCTTCTTCTTCCACTTCGTCTTCGCCTTCACCTTCATGAACCCGCTTCTTGCGTCCCAGCACTTTTCTACTTCCTTTCTAAATCTTCCGTGCTGGGCCGCTCTTACAGTCGGCTCTTCTTCTCGCATTCCTTCCACTTCACCACTTTACACTTTACTTCTTCACTTCTTTCTTTCTTCATTTGGACTGTGGACTTGGACTTTGGATTGTGGACTTTTGGGCTTCTTCATCCCTCCTTTCTTTCTTCTTTCCTTTCTTTCTCCTAGGTTATCAGTGCGGGCACCGGACCCTATCGGATCGGAGCGGATTGGGTTTGGGCGGATACAATACAAGAGGACTTTTACTTTACACTGCACTACTTTACACTACATGGTATGAAAACGGGGCTTCAGGGTGGGTGGTTGTTTGGTGGGTGGTTTGGGTTGATAGATGGACGGAATGCGGAGTCTATTTTTGACTTGCTTGTTGATTTGCTTGTTGTGTGTGTGTGCCTTTCTTGCTTCGCTTCTACATCTGCTTACCTACTTATCTACACCCACCTCCCCCATCCCCCTAAGCTCTCCCCTCCTCCTCCATTCCCTCCCTCAACCTAACCCAACCCTACCCAACCCACCACGACACACTAAAGCGCCTCACACACCCTCCCCACACACGCCAGCAACTTCTCCTCCTCCAGCCTCCCCGCCACCAACTGCAGACTCACCGGCTGGCCCCTCAACATCTCCTCGACCGCCTCCGCATCCCCATCCCCCTCCTCCCCCTCCCCTTCCCACCCCTCCTCTTCAATAGCCCGCCCTTCCTCCCCTTTACTATCCCACCCGCCCACCCCCGCCCCCTCCCCAACCCTCACGCCCACCGGAAAGTTCACAGCCGCATAATCGAGGCAATTCCACACGCACGTATAGCCAAAATAGCCGAACCGCCCCTTCGGCACCGCCGCATACGGCATCGTGGGGCAAAGGACCGCATCCAAGCCAGCCTCGTTCCAGCGCTCTAGGTACGCGGCCTGCAGCGCCGTGCGCTCGGCCTGCAGCTGCCAGAGCTCTGCGATGGAGAGGGGCGCGGCGGGGGCGTAGAGGTGCATGTACGGGGGGAGGGGTTCGTGCGAGGGTGCCAGGAGGGAGGCGATGGTGGCGCCGCCGTCGGCGTGGAAGAAGGCGTGCTGTGTTTTGGGTGTTGTTAGTGGGAGGGGGAAGAGTGGGTTATAGTTTTGGGGGCGGAGGGACGTACGATGAGCTCGGTAGCCCGCTTGTGCCCCTCACAGCTCCAGTCCACGACCTCATGTCCTGCTTTCCGCAACTTATCCACCGTCTCTTGCAGCGCGCGGCGCACAGGCGGATGCGGTTCGACAACGCCATCATGCCAAAGGACGCCGACGCGCAGTTTTTTTGGCGCCTGGACGTCGCGCCACGGGATCGGGAGGCACTTTGGATCCTTGCGCCAAGGTTCCGCGTCCACGACGGCGCGCGCATACAAGCGCAAAGTGTCCAGACACGGAGCCAGCGGGCCGTTGACGCTCGCGACCGCCTCCTGCCCCGGCAGCCCCGAGCTACATCGTCCAGTCGGGAAGCGGCCTGCGCTGGGCCGCAGGGTCCACAGGCCCGTACACGCGGCCGGGATGCGCAGGGAGCCGCCAATGTCGGAGCCGACGCCCAGCACGCTGCCGCCAAACGCTATCAGCGCGGCTTCGCCGCCGGAGCTGCCGCCGGGGGTGAGGCCGGGGTGGCGCGGGTGCCGCGTGGGCCCGAAGACCTGGTTGACCGTCTCGGCGTACATCATGGCGGTGGGGACGTTGGTTTTGACGTACGGGACGGCGCCGGCGGCGAGCAGCAGGTCGGCGAGCACGGCGTTGCGCGGGGCGGGGGCGTGGACGCGCGAGGTGAAGCCGAGCGTGCTGTCGACGCCGGCGATGTCGATGTTGTCTTTCAGCGAGATGGGCAGTCCGTGGAGGGGCCCGAGGGGTGTGCCGGTGCGCGCGAGGTGCGCATCCAGAGAGCGCGCGGTCGCGATGGCGAGGTCGAACAGCGTCTCGCTGAGGCAGTTGATCTGGCGCGGAGGCGGGGTCAGCGGCGGGGCACAATCAACACCACCCACCTACGAATAAATGTGTACCAGCTGGTGCGCAGCCGAAGCACGCTTGCAAAAGGCGCGGGCGACCTCCTCGGCCGTCCACTCGCGGGCTCTAAGCTTCGCCAACAGCTCCGCGGCCGGCGTCGTCGTGATGGCCAGCTCGGCGGGCGTGAACCAGCCCGACTGGGCCGGGAAGGTCGTCACATCGGGCTGGGACTGCTCGGACGGCAGCAGATCTGCGGGGATGCGCCATTCGGCCGGGATGGAGTCGCGCAGCGCTTGGCGCTTTTGCGCGGCAATGTCTTGCCAGCTCATCTTCTGCTCTTGCGACGCCATGGCGAGTGTGTAAAACTAAGTAGTGAGTAGTAGTGTAGTGTACTGTAGTGTAGTACAGCGGGCGAGGCTCTTATTCTGCTTACTGCAGCCAGCCGCCGCCGGCCGCGCTTTTTGACATGCGTGGCGGGGGAGCGTGTCCCGTCCGGGCTAGGGAGGATGATAGAATTGATAGGTTTCTTGAGTCGTCGACGTCACCGCCCAGTTTGAACAGGCCCGGAGTTACCCCAACAGGCAATCCCATACCCTCCACCTACGCAGCCTGCCTTTGCCTTGCTTATCTCTGTGCGTGGGATATGCGCCTCCTCTCCCCCATTGTCGCCTTTCCTCCGTTCACCCGCCTGCTCCTCCGCCTCGATATGCTTGCCGCCGCGCGGCCTGCGGTTAGCTATCGAATGCCAGACTGCCGCCTACGTCGTACTTTGCATCACGCTGCTTAGCGAAAAAACGCCGTCTCAACGCGGCCGCGGCCACGGCCACCAATCTTTGTGACTCGATCCTTCTCTTTTTTCCACACCGCCGACATCGCGTACCCCTCTTGCTCTTCCATTTTATTTTGCCCATGTCGATTTGTGTGTTCGCCGTCGTTGTCGTTGGATAGCAGCAGGACCCACTCGCTAGAAAGAGCATGGCATCGACCCTGGAAAAGGCGCGGGCCTATCTGCGCGCCTCGCAGTCCTCCAAAGAAGAGCGCAGGCTGGTGCGCAAGATAGACTTCTTCATCCTGACCTTCTGCTGTCTCAGCTACTTCACCAACTACGTACTTACAGAATCTGACTTCCGGTATCGGGGGCCCTTGGTTGCTGACGTGCTGGTGTAGCTGGACCGCTCCAATTTGACCAACGCCTATGTCTCGGGCATGAGGGAGGACCTCGCCTTCAAGGGGAACCAGTTGACGCAGATTAATACCATTTTCACGTGCGGGTGAGTGAGTGAGTGGGCGGGGCGCGCTGCCCTCTATAGCTTCATATGCTGGACGCAGACGTTGACGCGCGCCACAGCTACATCATTGGGCAGATCCCGTCGAATCTCGCCCTTCACTACATTGCGCCGCGCCTCTTCTTCCCGAGCATGATGCTCGCGTGGGGCGGTCTGACGATGCTTACGGCCGCGGCCCAGCAGCCCCAGCACATCATGGCCATCCGCTTCTTCCAGGGGATAGCCGAGAGCAGCACATTTGTCGGCACGCACTACATCCTGGGCTCGTGGTTCACGGAGCGCGAGCTCGGCAAGCGCAGCGGCATCTTCACGGCCTCGGGCCTCGCGGGCACCATGTTCGGCGGGTTTATCCAGAGCGGCATTCAGGCGAGCTTGCATCGCAAGGCAGGCCTCAATGGCTGGCGCTGGCTGTTCATTATCGATGGACTCATCACCCTCCCGATTGCCATTTATGGCCTCCTTCTCTTTCCGGACACGCCGAGCAAGACTCGCGCACCGTACCTGTCCGCCACGGAGCGCCGTCTCGCCGCTGCGCGCGTGCCGGATCCGCACAGCGCGACGTCGCCCTTTACATGGCGTTTCGTGCGGCGCGCGGCCACGTCGTTCGCCTTCTGGGGCTTCGTCGTGCTGTGGGCAATTGCAGGCGAGGTCGAGTCTTTCAACAGCAACGGCCTGCTGGCGCTGTACCTGCAGTCGCACCCGACAAAACACTACACGGTTGCGCAGCTGAACGACTACCCGACCGGCGTCGCAGCCGTGGGTATCGTAAGCACGCTGTTGTGGGCGGCGCTGACAGACTTGCTGGGTGGGCGCTCGCGCGCGCTGGTCGGGTATTGGTGCGCCGGTGTGTGTGCAGTGGCGGCTGCAATGGTCCTTGGGGCATTTAAAAGCACCGGAGCCGTCATGGCCGCGTATTATCTTTCCGGTTCGGCGTACGCTGCGCAGGCGGTCATGTTTGCATGGGCGAATGATGTGCTGAGAGGTGAGAATGAGGCGTTTAGGGCGCTGGTGGTCGCAGCCATGAATACGGCGAGTAACGTCGTGAATGCATGGTGGAGCATTGTGTTTTATAGCGCGGATATGGCGCCGAGGTTTACGGTGAGTGGTTTCCGGCTTGCTTTTCGCGGACTGTCTTGCTCTTCTTGAATCTGGGCTGTGCGGATTCGCTGACCTTCTGTGCGCAGCGTGGCATGTACGCGATGATAGGCACGGCTATCGCACTGGCAATTTGGACGGCTTTGCTGAGCGTGTGGGCGATAAGGCATGAGCGAGTGCGCGGGCGTGGCGGAGATGCAGATGCGCTCGCGAGCGGTGACTCGCTTGATGGGAGGGCTGGTGGTGCCGGTCAAGGTGACGAAGACGGTGATAATGGATTGTCGCAGCAAGTGGAGATTGAAGAGAACGAGGGGAGGGAGAGAGTGCTCGCGGAGAAGGTGTAGGTGGTGTAATGAGAGGGAAAGAGAAAAGGAAACCGCGCTGAGATGCGCCATAATACCCACTTACCAGTCTAGGTAGGAAGCCGAAGACGACAATCCTGTACAGAACTATACATTAGAGGGGCCGCAAACCCCATCACCGACCCGTCAGCAATCTCGGGTACGGTTCAATCATCCTCATAGCTTTTAATTTACTATATTATAATTCTTATTTACCCCTCCTTGTCACCAGTCCTTACAGACCTCCTACCCAGACTGAACATTCTACCCACGTACATACAAGCAAAAAAAAAAAAAAAACTCCAACCAAACAAGCAGCCAGTCCACGCATCCCCTCACCCAAACAAACAAACGCAATCCCCGACCTATGTAGTGCGTGCGTCACAGACAAACAAACACACCGCCAACAACACCTAATGGTGCAGCACGCAAGCAAGCACGAATAAGACTAGGTAGGCCGGGCTGGGCTGGACATAGCTAGGCCATGCATGCAGGCCAAGACGGACGGGCAGGACGAGCGTGCTTTTGCCTGGCTGGCTGGTATGGCTGGCAATTCTGCCTTATTTTCTTTTTTTTCTGGCTTTGTGATGAGGGGCGGAGGGTGTCGCGTGATAGGTGGATTGGGCAAGCAGTGCAGAGGGCGCGAGACAGGAGAATGGATGGGGTGGGGCGGGCATGGTGATAGTGTACATAGGTACATGCGCGTAAGTGTGCTAGCAAGGGTATGATGGAGGGATTGACTGAGGAGGAAGCTGTGGCAGACAGGGACTAGGCGTACACGTGAAGCGGAGGAGCGGCGGGCAAGGCTGACACCACTCGCACGTGTGGCCAGACACTGCCTCTCTGGCATTCACCGCAAGAAAGACTTCCGTCATGGCGATACATGAAGAGATCGGAGCAGACAGCGGAGGAGCAGAAGCGGTGATTAGACATCAGGGCGCCGAAGCCTCTTTCCTATCACCAACGTCTTAGCTAGCCGCCGCCACCGCCACCGTTCACTCGCTCCTCTCTCTCTCTCTCGACAGACGGACACGCAGCAGTAGCGAGCACTTCAAGTAAGCAAAATGGAGAGAGAAAAGCAAAAGGAGAGAGAGAAGACAGAAGAAGCCGTGTTGACGCCAAAGCGCCCGTGAGATGCTCTTGCAATTCCCCGAATCCCGCTTTCCATGATCAGAAAATGTGTCCCCCGCGTTCTTCGTTTGATTGTCGTCTTCATAGAGTCATGTCAACCGCTTCCGCTAAGCATGCGCGACGTCCCATCGTCATTGTGTCTCCAAAAAGCTGCCGTAGTGGGCGCCGCAGGGCCGCAAGTAGGCAGGCTTTCGTGCTGGGAGCCGGGAGCTCAGCAGCCACCGCCGATCTGCTCCTGGTGGACCTCGAGGGTGTCGCCGTCCTGCATCTCAAGCTGCGAAAAGAAAGTATGGTTAGCAGGCATCCTTGTGAAGACGGGCCGTCCGGTGAAGGCGCATGCGCGGGCGAGTGGCGCGTCGCGGCTGAGGCGGTGCGGTCGCCACGATACCGCCTCGTCGCTCGCGCCGCGGCTTGCCGGCTCGGCGGCGGGGGTGAGGACTCACAATCTCAGGGTTGTCCGAGGCGTTGACACGCTGGCCGTCGAACAGGAAGCGGACGGACTGAGGGGACTTGCCCTGGCGCTCGCAGAAGGCGTCCATGAGCTTCTTGAGAGCAGTCGTGCGCTTGATCTTGAAGAAGACCTCGTTGTTGTTGTCGGTGACCTTGATGTTCAGGTGCTCAGACTGTTGAGCCTGGTCGGGTTTGGGCGAGCCGTTGTCCGACATGTTGATAGGTTGCAGTTGGATATCTGCTGGGTTCGAGAGTGAGATGTAGACTGCGAGGTCGCGGGTCAGCGGGCTGCTTTATATAGGATGCGCTGTGGCGTGAGACGTGTCGTAGTTTCCGCGCGCGCAAATTGTGACGGATGCGTGGGCAGGCGCGGGCAAAGAGTCGCGGGGAACGGGGAAGAGTGAGGGCGAGAAGATGACTGGTGCTGGATGGGAAGCGGCAACTGCGCGGACTCACCTTGTCAGCCGGGCGTGAGACGGATGCTCGGGGCAAAGTATGAGGAGAGTTGTCTGGGGGTGGAAGCGCTGGGTGAGGTTGATCGCGGACAATGTTGGTGGGGTTGTGGATGGCCAGCCGATCGTTCAAAGTCGTCTTGCGTCAACGCGCAACTGCCCGGCACTTGATATACCACATCACTCGCTTTGTTGGCTTTTCCCGGTCACGAGAACACTCCAGTCACTTCCCACTGCTTTACCATGGTAACTGCAACCACCCGTCGCGGCTTCCCAGAACAATCACTCATCGCATGCAGGGCGGCCTAGAACAAGACCTCAAGACGGACCCTCCGTGCCATCCCCGGGCCTGCGCCATCCAGGGTGTGTCGTGGTGCAAATCGCAGGTCCAATCGTTGCTGACCAGCAGCAGATTGCTTGACAAAGTCGGGCTACAAGGAGGAAAAGTGCCAGAAGCAGGTACCGTTCCCCGCAGTACGACGCGCCGGCGACTGCATGTGCTGACGCGCCAAGATTGACGCGCTGTACGAGTGCTGCAACGCCTTCTACGAGAAAAAGGGCGACGACGCCGGCTGCGTGAGCTGTCCAAAGCCGAATCTCCTGAGGTCGAGCGCCCGGACAGAACAGAACGCATGGCAGACGTGGTGCTGACCGCCTCGCAGGCTCAAGATGAAGCAACGCAGCCAAGGCCAATGAGAAGGACGACGTAGATAGCCACCATAAAAACAATCACGTAGAGCTGAAGAAATGTCCCGTCCGCTGAGGGTATCCGCTGTCATTCCTCCGGAGAGGTAAAGCAATTAAAGCAGGGGACGGGGTCGCTCTCAGGCGATCGTGAGCACGCTAGAGGCCTACAAGGACCTGTTCAAACACTGAAAACGTCTGAACCGAGACTCTAATGATCACCTTGCTAAAGACATTGATGGTTTGTAAAATTTTGGCGGGCAGCGAAGAATTTATACCGCCAGCCGCAGCGCGAGCCGCTAGTCCCGGAAGGGCGTTAGCGTTGCGGAGCTCGAAACTCGTCGCGTTCTGGCGTCGATGATGTTTTGCTAGAACAACACAAAGCCAGCCCTGCTGGTCCATTGCGCTCCACCTTCCATTTCGCGCGCATTCCGCCCAAATATCCCATTTCCTCCATCTCACTCGCCATCACCCAGTCCTTATCTGCAATGGCCCCCGTGACCCGCAAGTCATCGCAGTCCGCGCCCCGGAGGAACTCGAGAAGAGGCTCCAACGACAGCGCCGCCTCTGATCGCAGCGGCAACCTTCGCCTCGGCTACCGCGCGCAAGATGAGGACCTCCACCCTTTGCGCTCCATGGCCGAGCGCGTCGGCAAGGAGGTCGAGAAGTTCGCCGAGAGTGTCGACAACTGGCGCCGCGACGTGACGAGCAACAAAGCGACGAGCATCACAAAGCATCACTCGACCATGGACCTAGTCCTCCAGCTGAAGGAAGAGGCCGAAGCGAACGTGGGCCAGCTGCGGAAGAAGCTGGCTGCCGAGGCGCGCGGTGCGCCCAACAAGCGCCTGGACAGGATCCGTGAAGTCGACGAAATCTACACGTCGGTCGAAGAAGAGTTCGAGTTGGACTTCAGCTCACACAACACCAAGGACGCGCTCAGGCAATGGCAGTCGGAATCTGCTACCTGGGAGCTTCTCCGGATGATGCTGGAGTTGAACCAGCCTATGCCCGGCATCAATCCCGCCGCCATTAAGAAGAAGAACGCGGCTTCGTTTAATAAACTTCACAAGTACAGTCCGGAGGGCGACGTCTGGGACCGCTTCATGCTCGTCGAGGACAGTGCCAGAGAGAGGGAGCAGATTCTTCGTTGGTTGGAGGAGACGGCAGACGAAGCGCGGGACGATATTACCACTGTCGTTGACACGCTCGGGGAGAAGAACGGACGCGGCAGCGGAACATGGGCGCAAGGCTGGCTGGACACGAAGTTGAGGCTCAAGCAGGAAAAGAGGCTGCATCCGTGGAACCAAAACTCCGAGCTTCCGGAAGTTAGACGCGAGGACACGGGCGAGCTTATCGCATCGCAACTCGACCCTGACGCGCCGACCCGCCAAGGCCGCGTTCTCGAACAAACCGACGACAACTACGAAAAATCCATATGGCTAGCAATCTGGGAGATGATGAGGCGTGGCAGGCCCTGGCATGAGATTCAGGAGTGGTGTAATGAGCGCAACGAGCAGTGGAGGGCCGTCAGTCTGGGCAAGGCATACGACAACCATGATCGGAGGACATCTGTCCGAGGCGCGAACGTAGGTGGCCTCTGGCGTCGCGTATGCTACGCCGCGGCGCAAGCTGGACAGAACGAGTACGAGCGCGCAGTTTACGGTGTTATGGCTGGCGATATCTCGTCAGTCGAGCCCATTTGCCGGTCGTGGGACGATTTCCTTTATGTGCGCTTGAACAGCATCCTGCTTTCGCAGTGGGACGAATATCTGCAGGAGGAAGTTCCCGACAGCATTCGAGGCGCCCTCCCAGCACGTCTGGGCGGGCCACCCAGTATGCTCCAACTGCATGGTGGAGCAGAAAACGCCAACCGTCGCGTCGTTGAGCATCTGGCCGAGAATGAGGCCACGAAAGCCGATAGCCGCGAACCGATGAAGATGATCCAGGGCGCGTTGATTAGCAAAAAGTTTGAGCGCCTTGCATTGGAGCTTGGCATTGCCTTGTCCAAGAGGGCCAACGCCGACGGGGAGTTGTCGAAATTGATCCCTATTGTCGACTGGGATAACGAGAACGAAGCATACTACGGCCTTGCGGAAGACTATGACGCTCTGCGCATCGTAACGCACATGCTGCTGATTTTCAGGAACTTTGGCTTCTGCTCGGAGAATGATGCCAGGAACCAGCAGATGTACGAGAACATTATCGTCAGCTACATCGATTTCCTTCGCATGGCCGGCAAGATTGAGCTCGTCCCGCTGTACGCCTCGCAGCTGTCTCACACGCGCGCCTACCAAACGCTCGGCATCGCTTCTACCGACATTCGGAACTTTGAAGAGCAAAAGCAGCAGGTCGTTCTTATGGCAGAATACAATATCGACATCGACCAAGTGCTGCAGTCGCAGTGGGAACACACTCTCGTCAATAGCGGACTCAAGTCCCGACACGGTGATTATATCAAGCGGTACGAGTTCTTGGAGGAATGCAAGCACAACCAGTGGCCCGGCCAGCGTATTCGCGAAGCTTTCTTGCCAGACGAAATCACGCCAGAAGAGGAGATGCTGATCCGGAGCTGCGAGTGGTGGATGCATCTTCCGGAGAGGTGGCATGAGACTTTTGTTGCTTTGACGGAGACGATCAAAGAGTTCTTGCGTAAGACTTCAAGCCAGGTTCTCGCTACTTTACTTGTGAAGACACATGCTGACTTGACATTCAGTCTCTGGACGCCTTGGTGCCGCTGTCCGCCTGATTGAGCGCCTTCCCTACAGACATGTCTCCAAACTTAAGACTGCTGACATGCTCGGCATCGGTCGTTCCATGGACGTGATGGAAGACGAGCTCCCCACAGATGAGATGGCCAACTCAGACCCAGACCTCCGCCGTTCGGGACGCAATCCCCTCCGCTCCTCGATACAGAGACCCCGCGCAATCTCGCCCGGCCGTCTACAGGAGAGCTACTCCCTCCGCGAGGCACTTAGGGCCGAGAGCCGGAACTACTACCAGCTTCAACAGCTCGTGCAAGCGATTAAGATGCTCGACGAATGGCGGATCGAAGAGGCCGAGCTTATCAAGTACGACCCAAGCACCTACAATTATAATTATGACGCCAAGAAAGACGCTAACGGCACCCAAAGCATCAAATCCAACGGCGGCACCATGCCTCCCAAGAACAAGATCCGCAGTCTGCTCGAGAACGTGTGCGACGCGGTGAACCCGCTGCTCAACGGCGGCTTCCTGGCCTTTGCCAGCGACGGTGAGTCTTGCATCCCGCACACGCAAATCACAAGAACATCACGAACTAACAACGCACCCGCAGACCTCGAAGCCCAACAACTGCACACGCTGCACCTAGCCTACGTGCCCGAGATCGTGCTGGGGTACAACACGGTCCTGCACAGCGCAGCGCACATGGTCGGGCGCGACAACATAACACGCTGCATGGATGTGGCGACGGCAGTGGCAGCTCCAGCGAACGCGGCGCTGGCAACCGCCTTTGCGGATGCTGGCCGCTTGCAGGAACTCGTCCGCATGCTGGCCGCCAGCTCGCTGGCTATGGTGCGCCTGTCCGAGGGCGGCGGCCGCAAGCCTGATGCTGCGGCTCGCAAGCGCGCGAAGGCCGGCCAGACGATGCGCATTTGGGATATTGGGAGGGGCGAGGGCGCCGCGTTGTAGTGCGTTGTGGGTTGTGCGTGGGTGAGTGAGTGGGTTTGGGAGCACTGAGCAGCTGAGCAGCTGAGATCGAGGCCGCGGTTATGGAAGTGCAAGTGGAAGTGGGTTGCGTTGGATGCGTTGGGTTTGGTGGTGGGTAACTAAGGCGCATGTGCTGCATGTCATGTAGTACATGTAGTGAGTGGTAGAGACGGCGGCGGCGGTGGTGCATGTGCATGTGCATGTGCATGAACGAGCACGGTGCCACGGGCCACGGGGCGGCGGGTTTGGAATAGATAAACGGGTGGGAGCGGACGCTCGCTTGCTGGAGTTTGAGCTTCGCTCTGGGTCTGGCCACTGCTGTCGATTGATTGATTGATTGATAACTGGTGTGGACGACGTGGCGGGTTTGAGGTGCTTGGGTTGGTTGTTGTTGTTGTTGTTGTTGCATAGCAGTGGTGGGGTCGGAGTTGCTTGTTGCTTGTTTCTTGTTGCTTGTTTCTTGTTTTTGTGGTTTGGTTGGTTGCATTGTCGTTGTTTGAGTTTGAGTTTGAGTTTTTTTTTTTTTTTTTTTTTTTTTTTTTTTTTTTTTTTTTTTTTTTTTTTTTTTTTTTTTGTGTTTAGGTTTAGTTTGTTTGGGCTGTGTTTGAGGTTGAGGTTGAGGTTGATGCGTGATGGTGGGTGGTGGTGGTGGTGGTGGTGGTTGGCTGATCGAATAATTGCTTGCCTACCTTGTATCGAATATCAAATAGCTACATCTTGTTAAGCAGGTTAAAAAGTAAGAATATATAAATACTAAACTATACTATAAGGGTATAGAGGTCTAGATTTATACGATCACTAGAGTATCTATAAAGGTATAAAAACAAATTTCTCGAAGGGTCTAAAGGTACTTATAAGGGTACAGAGACCTAATGTTTTAAAGAGTTGGAAACATATCTTGTGATTTTGTAGATACTATTACGTACGGTGGGCAAAATACTTAGAGGGAGTAGGTAAATTATCCGATACTATAATATTGTGCTCTTGCGGAGGAGCTTAAGGAGGGTATACTATACGCTCGAGACTTACTTTAATAGGGTACAGCTTACGGTCTCTAGGCCGGTGGAACAGCTCCCCTTCCTTTCACTCCAATCTCAGCGCACAAACAGAGCTCATCCCCCGAAAAGGCGCAGCAGGACGACTCAGTCAACCAGTCAGCCAGCCAGTCAAGCGCGTACACGCCAGCAGCAGCAACAACCTCAGCATCTCGGGCCAGACGCAGTGGCAGATAGATTAGCCACAAACAACCTTACACCAACCCACCTACTCCATCCGCACCAAACTCCCGTACAGTCGCACACCCATCCTCCCCTTCCCTATCCACGTCCCATCCGAGCCGATCCCGACTCAACTCCTGGCGCACTTCAGCCGCCCGCAGAAGCACGCAGCAGAGAAAGCCATGAAGCAACTACGACGGCCTAGCCATCTAGCGCCCTAACGGCTAAAAGCGCGAGCCTTGGGACGAGAATGCACTAAGCAGCGGACTACGCTCGGGTACCTGTCTCGGGCCGGCGCAGTCGAGCCGCCACTACCTACTCTAGAGCACTTCTACTTCTACCTGAAGTAAGTCGGACGTACGTAGAGTAGGTAGGAACACGTCGGACGCGGTGAGCGGTGCGTGTATGAATGTGCACTATTCATACGCTGGCTGCACTGCTCTGCGCTGTACCGACCTAGATACAACGGTACTTACTCACCAGGATCCGGCTTCTGCCGTATATACGTACGCGCTACACCACCGCGCTAGGCACGCGACCTCCGTCGGTGTTCAGCTATGCACTAGGTATTGGAGCTGAAAGCTGTACGCCGTATGTCGTACCTGCAGCAGCCACCTAGCCACGTACCACCACGGCAACCCGAACACATACCCACAGTATATGCTAGCGCCGGACAAGGCAAGCCACGCGCGTCGGAGCTGAACGAAACGCAACGAAACGAAACGTAGGCACGCCGGCAACTGCAGAGGACGATGCTGCTACCCAGGCAGGCTGGGCGTGTGTGGCGCTCTGTCTGCCTGTCCCCTCAACCGCGTACGTACGTAGCTAGGCAGCGTGGCTGCGGCTGCGTGCCTACCTACCTGCCTTGCTCCAGATGATGGGGGTGACGATGGCGATGATAGCCACCACCACGCTCTCCCGATGAGCTACTAGGAGTACCTAGCAACCAGGACGGACCCGGGCACCACCAAGCCGAGGGCACGGCAGCGCGCAGCCGCAGCATCTGCGCTTCCGAGACCGAAGCCAGGCCAGGTCTCGCGTTGTTGTTTCCACAGCTGTAGGTACTGTCCTCGATGCGGCCGTTCACGGTGCCTGCTTGGTGCGAGCGACGAAGATGGGGGCAAGGGCGGGGGCGGGGGCGGGGGCCGTTGGTATACTAGGTATCTAATATGCATACGGCCACAGCCACGCGCACGCGCGCGCGCACGCACATAGAGCTATTTTTGTGCTGTCGTTGTTGTTGCTGTTATGGTGGTGGTGGTGGTGGTGGTGGTGGCAGTGTTGACGTCGACAGCGACAGCGCGCTTCGCCCCAGCAACAACAACAACGGGGCTGGACTGTGTGCCCGTGTGTTGTGCAGCGTAGCGTAACGTCCGTCATCGCGAACCGAGATCCACCGTATAGCGAGACAGGGGACAATACAAGCAGTCCCTACAGAGCACTTCTTGCCCAGCCCCTAGCCAGAGTTCTAGGTATACGTAAAAAGAGTATATGTGGACTCTACATATCTTAGCTGGGTCTCTTCTTCTACTCCATATAAGTACCTATCACCATCTCGCTTCACGGTCGATCTCGGTTCGCGGTGACGGACGTTAGCGTAGCGTAGCGAGAACGTCGTCCTACGTACGTATCCGAGAGTAGGTCAGTAGGTAGTGGCCAGGCTGTCTTTCTGTCTGGCAGCTGTCAGCGGTCACACATAAGCAGGAAAAAAGAGACGGGGTACAGTAGGACAAAGGCCAGGCCAGACTGTGTGAAGTAGATAGATGGTGGGTTTGAGTGGCGATTGATTAGCTGGTGGCGGGATTGATTGATTGATTGAGTAACGTGTCTTGTTGTATCACATGCGTGTCTCATGAACGGCGGCCTTTAATCAATATCAGTCGCTTTATCATGGCAATCAATCAATCAATCAATCAGTCAGTCACTTAAGCGATCAATCGAGTGATCAATCGATAGGTTGCACAGAAGTGCAGTGCGTAGCTGTGCTGCCTTGCTTACCTACTCGTACCCAGCACCTTGCAAACGAACGAACGAATGAGCGACCAATTGGGATGGGACCACCAACAACCACCCACCCAACCAACCAACCAACTAAACAAGCCCGCATTGAACTTACTCGCTCCGGCCCGCTCCTCGGAACGAGCCCGCCTTCGAGACCACCTAACCAACACAAGGAACAGCCCAAGGCACAACCGAGATCTCACACAGACACACACTTTCTCTTTCTGTGTGCCGACCTCGCTCTCCCTCCCTCTCACACGGCCCACATACCACACAACACACTCACCGGGATCCCGGCACGCACTCACCCACAGCACCCACACACTCACACGCATCCAGCCAAAAAGCCCACGCACCCGCCCACACAAAACGCGTCGTCATCACGCGTCCGTGCCGCGGATCCACGCCTCGCGCCGCGCAGCCAGGCCCGCCAGGATGCAGGCGGCAGGCGCCATCTGGGCTTCTGGAAGCCTGCACCCTGCGGGCGCCAAGCACGCAACGGCCATTGCCCAGCCACGCCTAGCACGTCTGGCCCTTGGGGCGGGCTTGGCTGGGGTGCGTGCGTGCGAGCGTGCGTGTGTGTGCGTGGATGTGGATGTGGACGGCAGACAGACAGACAGGCAGGCAGGCAGGCAGAAAGGCGGTGATTGCCTTGGTAGCAAGACAGACGGCAATTTCCGGTGCCTGCGCCGTGCGGCAAAGACATGGGTGCGTGTGGATGGATGTGGGACATGAGATTGAGAGTAGTTAGTGCTGGGCGAATGTGATAAGCTGCTGGGCCGCTGGGGCCAGGACATGTAGTTAAGGCGAGCCGCGAGCCGCGAGCCGCGGCTGCGAGAGGTAACTGTCTTGCCGTGGGGGCAGGCAGGGGGCTGATTAGATTCGTGTGCCTGTGGCAGCTTATTGGGCAGGCCCGGCGGGGGGTTTAATTTCTGGGGTGCAGGGCACTGGGATGCGGTGAGTGTGGCGGTGGTGCGGTGGTGGTGCGGACTGCGGAGGAGGACGACGAGGGCCGTGGTATGTGGTGTGTAATCCGTACCTACCTAGGCTATTGTGGTAGGTAGGCCGGAGACGGCAGGATGGAGGCCGCTCTCGCTCTCTCACACCTACAATACCTACATTCGGCACTGGCTTCTGGAGTGGAGGGCTACATACCACCAGGAGAACTGCGAGGGGACGGTCACGGAGCTCGGAGATGGGCCTGGGACGAGGCGGTGGGTAAGGTTGGGTAAGGGTTGGGGTGGTGGGTGGATAAGGTGAGTAGGGCGGGTGCAGGTGCGCAGAGCTGGCCGTGAGCGGGCATGTCCGCCCTGCTTTGGCCGGCCCGGGGGGTGGAGAGGGGGGAGGGGGGAGGTGGTGGTGTGGTGCATGTACCTAGGTATGTAGCGGCGGCAGCGGGTGGTGGAGGTGTTGATGATGATGACGATGGTGATTCTAGCGAGTGAGATGACGGTTGACGGGCCCTTCCACTCCAGGAGGGCCATCTCCCGCAACACGAACAACAAGCTGGGGCAAAGGCGATCCTCACACACACGCAGCGTCGGCAACGGGATGATCCCAGAGGGAGGACGGATGGCAAGGCAGGCAAGGCAGCTGTGGCCCCCCGGACGAAGCGTTCGGTCGGCAGATCGAGTTCCAGAACGCGCGACCCACCGGCGCGGCGGCAGAGTCGCAGAGTGGTACGCTACCAGCAAGCATCAAACAGTGGGCTCGAGTTTGTTGGTACAACGGCTTATACACACAATGGTCGGGCCGAGTGGGTCGCCGGAGAAGGAGTGGAGGAGCTGAAGGAAGCGAAGCGCGCGTGGAACGACATAACGGGACGCTGGTAAGACTCTTGTCTTTCGTCATTGTGCGACGGGAGGGTTAACAGTGTGGCATGGGAGAGTCTTGGCTGGGCTGATAAGCGCCTGGGGCTGATGATGAAGGGCTGTCGGAGCGCAGATGAGCAATTTGGCACAGAGTTTGCACGTGACGACGGCACGGGAAGGGAAAGAAGGGAAGGAAATCCAGGTACAGGTGCGACCGGCGCCGTCCCGCCCCGCCCGTTAGCTTTCACCTACTGTATCAGCCACGACACCATCTAGACGCCCTGTGTGTCCTGCTGCCCCGTTCCCGACCCGATGCCGGCGTGTTCATCGCTTGCCCAGGCGCCGGAGATTCTTTCAGCCTCCGGTGTGATCGCCGACCAGGGTCCTGGAGATGATCGATCCTCCCCTTTTTCCTGCCAACGCCAACACTTTCTCCAAAGTGCCACCGTCATGGATGTCTGCTGCCGCCTGGCTCTCCGCCCGGCTCGCGGGACATTGCGATGGGCCAGCAATCCCAATGTCTAATTCAAGTGGAGCCCAGAGCGATTTAAACCCATGCTGGGCGCGCGGTTGATCCTTTCTAATTTGCGTTGACAAAGATCCCCGCATTGGTCGTGAAACAGCCTACTTTGACGCCCGGTCATCCTCCGCTCCTACATATTGGCCGCGCCCGCCCCCCCGTCCGCGAGCTTCTTCTTTTTCTCTTGCCCTCAACTCGCAGCTCAGCCCGGGTTCTCATTTGACGCTCTTTTGGCATCTTCTGGCCACCACGCTCTCTACACCGTCCCCTAGCACCGGACATCCACTCTTTCACACATACGCTTCGGTCGTATCCCCGCAAACACACACCCCTATCCCCGTCCACTACACTAGGTCTTGACGATCTCCCGCTGCCGCTTCAATCCCGTCGCCACCAATCCAGAAAGAATAAAATCACATCCAAGATGCGTTCGTCTACCCTCGTCGCCGCGACCTTCGCGGCCCAAGCCCTGGCTGGCCCCATCGCCAAGCGCTTCCTCACCACCGACTGGGAGTTCGTCACCGTCACCCAGACCGTCACTGCCGGTGAGGGTGTCCCGGCCGGCGTCCAGACGTTTGTGACGACCATGCCCGCGTCCGTGACGGCCCAGGCCGTCGAGACCGAGGTCGCTGCCACGACCATCATCGAGACGCAGCAGGCCGGTGCCCAGGGCGCCAAGAACAACAACTTCTGGTCCTTCTTCCAGCCGCAGACGACCGAGATCGTGCAGACGTCCGCCCAGGTCCTCGAGACCACCATCGAGATCCCGCCCTCCGTCGTCGCGTCGACCCAGGTCATTGAGACCACCCAGGAGGCCCCTGTTCCCGTAGCGACTACGGCCGTCCCCGTCGCCGAGACCACCGAGGTCATCAGCACCCAGGCGCCTGCCACCACCGAGGCTCCCGCTACCACTGTGGCTCCCGCTACCACGCAGACGCAGGCCGCGTCCACCAAGGCCGCCACCACCCAGGCTGCCACCACCGCTGGCTCCGGCTCCGGCTCCGGCTTCAAGTTCGCGTCCATCTGCGCCACCCCCGCCGCCTCTGACATGCCCTCCGCCGCCCGCCTTGCCGCTACCCCTACCGGTGACGTCCAGAAGCTGTGGCTCGGATACCACAATGTCCACCGCAGCAACCACACCGACACGTGCTCCATGTACTACGACTACGACCTCGAGGAGAGCGCGCAGGAGTGGGCCAACACCTGCACCTACAAGCACGACACGACCATCGGCTCCAGCTACAGCGCCAGCGACGATACGACCTGGTACGGCCAGAACGGCGGCATGTACTCTGAGAGCCTGAGCGACACCAAGGCCGCCGTCATGTTCACCAACATGTACTACCAGGAGGGCCAGAACTACACCAACGCGTACGGCGCCATGACGCCGCTCGAGGGCGGCTCCGTGCCCACGGGCGCCGACATTGGCCACTTCACGCAGATGCTGTGGAAGGAGTCGTACGCCGTTGGCTGCGCCAGCCGGGACTGCTCGAACGTGGCCGGCTCGTCGATCGGCTACGTGACCTGGTGCAACTACCGCGTGACTGGTGAGTAATAGACCCTACAGCACACAACACAAAAACCTTTTCTCTCGCACCCAACCCATTCAGCCCCACCCCGAGCCCCTGATTTGCGGCCCCGTCCGCGCACACCCCCCACACGGGCCCTCGGTGGCCCCGGCCCCCCCATCCTGTCTCACTCCCAGACACTGCACTGGCCGCCTCAGGCCCCTCTGCACGGAAGGGAATTTTATGCTGACGGGTCCACTCTCTTGCAGGCAACATCCAGGGCGAGTACGCGACCAACGTCGCCAAGCCCATCAGCCCGGCCCTGCCGCCCGTCTGCACCGACTACGATGTCGAGGGCTGCATTGCCGAGTCTGAGTTCATCTAAGCGGCTCGCTGATATTGTGTGACGACGCATGCAATGCGCGGAGTAGGTGGGGACGACGGCTTCTTTGCTGTGTCTGCTGCTGCTGCTACTGCTGCTGTTGCTGTTGATGTTACTGGTCAAGCCAGCGAGCTGACTGGCGCGTAAGGCGGGCGAAATTCATGAGGGAAAGAGAGAGAAAAAGAGAGAAAGGGAGAGGGTGTGAAGGAAGGAAGGAAGTGGAAGGAAAAAAAAGAAAGAGAGAAAGAGAAGGATACCTCGACAGCGCGCCTTCCACACACACACTCTACGAACTGTCCAACACACGCTGTGTGCGCGCGCGGTAAACAAAACAACGTCCCCCTTTGCACAACACCCAACACTGCAATCGCACCTTCTTCTTCGGCTGGCTCGGAGGAGAAGACGTAACGAAGGACATGGGACGCCGGAGGCACGAGGTTCTTTCTCAAGACCAGGCAGTGCAGTGCGCTGCCGCTCGTTGCTTTGTTTTGTTTCTTTTCTTGTTCGTTTCTTGTCGATGTTTCTTCTTATCTTTTCATCTTTCTTCAAGACATTTTTCTTCTTCATTTTCTTTTCTTATTTCTTCATTCTTCATTTTTTTCTTCTTCTTGTTGTTACTTTACGGGCTTCTCTCGCCTTTCGCTCTCTTTTGTCCGTCGGCATCGCTGTCCGGTTGTCGCAACGAACCAGCTCGCGGTTTCGGTCAAGCAGTCGCAGTATCAGTCAGCAGCAGAGCAGAAGCAGTCAAGCAAAGCAGATACCTACAAACCCGCTCTTCCTCCCGTCATGTACCTACCTATACTTGTCTCCGTCCCCGTCTCTCTTCCTCTGCTGTCGCTCCTGCCTTCCTGTGCTTTTGCTGTTCCGCGTCACACACACGCGCAAATGCATCGCTTGGTGCCTTTCTTCTTCCCCCTTCTTCTTGTTGCTTTTACCTTACTTGGCTTGGTTTTGATGTCGCTTTCAACTTCAACTTCGCTTCGCTTCTAGCTGGGCTCTGGGCTCTGGGCCTTGGGACTTGGTGCTTCTTTTTGGATGCTTGGATGCATGCTTGGATGGGCGGTTTGTTGTACGTATGTAGATGGTTGGGTTAGTGGTTGTATATGTATGATTTATGATGGCTTACTTCTTACTTCTTGCTGCTTACTGCTTCTTTGTTGCTGCTTGTGAGTGTGTGAGTGAGTGTGTGTTATCTAATAGTTCAGTGACCATATTCCTTTTCTTTCCTTTCCTTTCCCTTCCCTTCCTACCCAACCCAGCGGGATGGTTGTCCGTTGCTAACTCAAACGCAAAACGCAAAACTCTAAACACGCGCTGAGCGGGGTTGGTTGTCCAACCACACACCAAACCGGACCAAACAAAAAGCAAAAGCAAACCAAAAGGTCTTGGCTTTACTCCGGCTTTTGGGGCCGGAAGCCATGGCGATCACGGTCCCGGTCCCGATCCCGAGGGCGCTGGGCGGGTCGGGTCGATTGATGCGGGGTGCTTGGGTGCTTGGGTGATGAGTGAGCGGCGTTGTGTTGTCGACTTTGGCTTTGCTTTTGCAGGTGAGTGAGTGAGTGGGGAGCCAGGCAGTCAGTGGCGTAAGCCGCATGCAGAAGATGCCTGGAGAGGTTGAAATGGAGGGGGGAGATGGTTCCGCGCGGGTCGGCGCGGGGGGACGGGCGGGTCCGTATGGTAGGTGGTGTGTATGTGGGGAGGTGGGTATATATCGAGGCGGCTGCGGGGCGTGTGTATGGGTAGGTACGGAGTGAGGAGCTTCCATTCCATTGCTCGGAGCAGGGTTTCAGCCTTCCAGTCATGGCGCTCCAGCGTATCGACGTGCACCACCACTACGTGCCCCCGTTCTACGCAACTGGTTAGTCACTGTAGCCACCTGTATACACAAACACCACTATCGGCCTATACACTGACGCAGACCCCAGCGCTGCAAGAGCACGGCGGCGACCCCTCGGGCTGGCCAATTCCAAACTGGACCGTAGAAGCCGACCTGCAGTTCAACGACGCAGAAAACATCGCCGTCGCGCTCCTATCCCTCACCGCGCCCGGCGCCGACTTCCTCCCGCTAGAGCAGCAAGCAGCACTATGCCGCGAAGCCAACGAATACGCCGCCGACATCGTCGCCGCGCACCCCACGCGCTACGGCTTCCTGGCCACCATCCCCTCGCTGCTCGACCCCGCCGCCGCGCAAGCAGAGCTGCTCTACGCCCTCGACACTCTCCACGCCGACGGCGTGATTCTCTACTCCCGCTACGGCAACGACAGCCACTACCTGGGCCACCCGGACTTCCGCTCGACCTGGGACGTGCTGGACGAAAGGGGGGTGGTCGTCTTCGTGCACCCGACGCACCCGGTTGATCTGTCTCTCGTGGACCCCCAGCTGCCCCAGCCCATCATCGACTACCCGCACGAGACGTCGCGCGCGGCGCTCGATCTCATCGTCTCGGACACGCTGCGCACGCACCCGAACGTCAGCGTCATCCTCGCCCACGCCGGCGGCACGCTGCCCTACCTCTCGCTGCGCGCGGCGTCGCAGCTCGCCTCGTCCCCAGCCGCTAACAAGACGCAAGACGAGATCCTGGCCGAGGCCAAGTCGTTCTACTTCGACACGGCGAACTCGGCGGACCCGCTCGTGCAGGACTTCATCCGCCAGTTTGCGCGACCCGGGCACGTGCTGTTTGGCAGCGACTATCCGTATGCGCCGCTAGACGCTATACGGCTGATGGACGATCTGCTGGACGAGTACGCGGCGGCGCACCCGGCGTACGTGCAAGATGTGGATGCTGATGCGGCCGTGGCGCTGTTTCCGCGGCTGCGAGACCTGCTGAGCCCGGCTAATGGGACGGGCGTCGTGGGAGCTAATGCTACGGCCAGCGCTGGGGCTACCAGTACGGCCGGCGTTGTCGACTCTGCTTCCGTGGTGGGCACTAATACCACCACTGCCACCACCGCGGCCAAGTACTGATGCCGCGGAGACCTGTCTCCAGCAAGGAAGGGGAGGCTCCGCGCCAGCGCTTGCGTCCTGCAGATCAAGTACCGTGCGCTCCAACGCCTTATGTAGCTAGAGCGTGAGCACCATCAGGTGCATATACAATTAGTATATCAACACACTACACTGCAGCCGAGCAAAACATCTACCTACCTAAGCCTGGTCAGCGTGCCCATTCCTTGCCAGTGAGATGTAGCAACTATCCCCGCTTACCTATGTATACCCCAGTTGACCTTGTATCAGCGCAGTAAACAAACACATGCTATGAACACTGATGGGATTGGTGCTTAGAATGCCATCGGATGATTTGCCTACCCTCCTCAAGCTCCTCTTGCCCAACCTACGTGATAGAGTCTATAAAACCACAGGATATATTTTCTACTCTTTATATTTTTAGGTCTCTATACCCTTATAAGCACCTTTATACCCTACGAAAGTTATATCCTTATACCCTTATAGATACTCTAGCAGTCGTATATATCTAGACCTCTATACCCCCGTAGTATACTTTAGTGCTTATATAGTTTTACTTTTATATATTATATAGTGCCTACTGGCCAGAGTGTAATGGTCTGTTGTAACAACTTAAGAAGTGCTCTGTAGGTGTTGTGGAGTTTACTTAATGTGTAGTTGAGGGGTGGGCAAATTATCCGGGCCTTCGATAATGGGCGTGGGAGGACTTGTTCGTTACTGCGAAGTCCGGCACCGGCGTGTGGTAGTGTTCTGGAGATTGATTACATAGGATAGGAAGGGAAGTAAGATAGTTCAGAACCTGCGTAGTGCGACTGGTCTAAGGGAAACGATCGAAATAGAGAGAGAGATAGAGAGATAGTATCGCCCCCCCACACCACCACGCCCAACACACCGAATACCGAACACTGAAGCACACGCACATTACATTTAGGACAACCAACTAACCAAGCAGCCCGCGTCTCGTCAGTCGTCACTGCCCGCTCAGCCTACCGCCTCTTTAGTCTTTCCCGCCTGGATAGTATACCTATAGCCGTACCGTACCCATCAATAGCAGCAGCTTAGAGACACAATTTCTGCGTCTCGAAAGGATCCGGAATACCGTACACAATAGAAACAGAGACAGTTCAAGCTGGTGCAGATACGTATATAGGTAGGTACACGCATTCATCCATACACCGAACAACCGAACCCCGCTCTCCGTAGCGTAGACGTGCAGTGCAATGCGCGCTCCCTGCACCTAAGACTCATGCTAAGACTTGACGACAAGGTGCAGTCTAGTTCGCATTCCACTAGATTGGGGCGAGGGGCGAGGGTTGAGTATGTAAGTGAAGGAGGAAGAGGAGGAGGAGGATAACAAAGGCTCTAATAGGATATGGATATGGATATCAAAGCGAACGAAGCGCTCTAGGTACTGTAGCAGCGAATAGAGAACAGGAATTAAAGCCAAAAACAAAGGGCAGAGAAAGATATTTCCCCTCCCTTATCATTACTGTCATTCGGGTCGCGGGCCCATGTAACTGCCCGCCAACGAACCAAAAACACAAGCGCCATGCTCAGCAGCCAAACAGAACAGAACAGACAGCCGCTCTAGAACCTTCCTACTTACAGCGTCCCCCGCCTCGGCGTACAGCGCGGTTTTGTCCCTCGCTAGCTTGGGTAAACCGCGCCCACCCACACACCCGCCCGCACACACATACATGCATACACGTCCTCCACCACTGCTGCGACCGCCATCTTAATTGTTCTCAGTGATAGGCTGCTGGGTGCCCACGAACTTGGGCAGGGGAGCCGTCGGCGCCGGCGGCCCAGTCCCGCTCCTACGGCGACGCTCGCGCTCCGCCACGCCCGGGACCTGGTTAATCTGGGGGCTCTGGTGGGCGCGGCGGAACTTGCCGCCCATGCCGCGCATCCAGGCGCCGTCGTCGTCGGAGCCAAGCCAGTACGAGCGGCCGACGGCAACCATGACGCGGCCCAGCTTGCCGGGCCAGCCCGCGCCGAGCTCGCGGTCGGCAGCGAAGGGGTTTTCGGCGTGGGCGTCCGTCGCCGCGCCCGTGTGCAGCGTGTAGTTTGCGGCCGAGCTCTGCGCAATGTGCTGGCGCAGCACGACGCGCGCGTACGCCAGCATGATGATGACGAAGTAGATGCGGATGGCCCACAGTGACGAGATGATGGTGATGCTGGCGACGCTGCCGCTCTGGAAGACGGCGCTGCCCAGGCCCGCGGCCGGGAACTCTGCTCCCGACGACGAGGCCGACGCGCCCGCTGCCACCGCTTCCTGGCCCGTCGTCAGGCCCGATGCTGGCTCCGCCACCACGTCCACGTGGCTGACGTTGTACTTGGGGTTCGTGAAGCCCGACGCGTCGTCCATCATGCTGCCGCCGGCGGCTTTGTCCTGCTGCGCCAGCACCAGGAACCATGCGATGCCGAACGTCGCCGTGTACGCGGCGTTGATGACCGTGTCCACCGCGTAGAACCATGCCAGTGCCAGGCAGCGCAGCGGGTCCGCCGCCCGTATGTACCGCGCCAGGTACGCCGTCAGCAACAGCGCGCCGATCGAGTACACGTACATGGACAGCTGCAGTGCCGACACGCGGTAGCCCGTGAACAGGGCCAGGATGCCGAAGACGCCCGTGATTTTGTTGACGAGGATGGTCAGGACGATGAGCTCGACGCCGGTGCGCAGCGACATGGCGTAGAGAAAGGACTGCCAATGTCATGTTAGCCGTGGGCGTCGTGGGCCGAGGCGGCGGGCGCCTTCGCTTACATTAGGGCGAGGAATCTCGAAGAGCGAAGAGCGAGCCATGGGGCGCGAAAAGGTGCGGTCTGGGTGACCGCAGGACCTAAGATTTGTGGGTTGTGATAGGATTGTACAGTACAAAGTAGGTAGAGCAGGTAAAGCGGATGGCGACGGGTGGTGCCAAAACCCTGGGGCGCAATCTCCCGAGTCTCCCGCCAGACCGCTCGGCGCTGGAAAATAGTCCAGCCCCGACCCGGCCGACGTCACGGCGGTTGAGCGGCGAAGCAAGCTAAATTCTACCTACATACATACTCGTACATCTCTACTTCCCTATTTACTGCCCCTTGGCTTCTTTTTCTTCTTTTTGTTCGCCATCTTCCTTTTCTTCCCGCACCTGGTCCTCTTCCGTCTCGTCAAACTCCACCAGCGGGTTGTCGAGAGCAGATGCATCCACCTCGGTCTCATCCTCTTCTGCCTCGGGCCTCTTCTCGTTTTCGCCCTCCTTCAAGTCCAACTCCTTGACCTCGACCGCACCATCCGCCGCGATCGGCACGGGCTGTTCCTCGTGCTTTACGGGACGGATGTCTGCTCCTTCTTCGGCTCCATCCAAGATATCCACACTTCCTTCATCGGCCCCATCCAAAATCTCCCGACCGTAGTCCTCTTCCTCCCGTTCTTCTTCCTCCTCCCCCTCGCCCTCCTCCTGTAGTTGCTCACTACCCCTCCTCGCATCCTCTTCTTTTCTCGCTTGTAAACGCTCCTTGAACTCCTGCCTTGTTTTCTCTCGAGCCTGTGCCCTAGCCTCTTTGGCTTGCAGGCGTCTCTCGTACTCTGCGACCGTTGAAAACCTAACCAACGTGTCTTCTATGGCCTGCTCGACGACCGCCTTGGCATGGAAAGCGAGATTGCGCGTCGTGAAGACGCCCGCAAAACGATAACTTAGCCAGAGGTAAAGAATGATTCCTCTGTGCAGTTGTTCTAGACCGAAAAGGTACTCCCGCGACCCATCTGGCTCCTGGTCCAATATGTCAAAAGGAAGACCCTTAATGTTCAAAAGGGAACCGTCTTTCTGCTGCGCAACAAACTCCGCCATGCTAATCAACGCTGTCCTGTCTGACGGCGATTTGAAATTGGCCGGAGCCGCGGTAAAGGTGATGCGGTCGCTGATACTCAGACCCTCTACGCCATGGATAACGTCCGCAATGGTAAGCTGGTCTTTGAGACTACATAGGCGGAATCGGGTGTGGACGCGCGATATGTCGTGCAGGCGTACCATGATGTAGCTGAAAGGCGTACCGGGCGGGAAATAGTTTGCGAACCGCTCGATGATACTGCTTGGTGGGAAGAGCCCTGCTGCACGGATGATTTCTGCATCGGTTTGCAGGCATTTAGCGATCCTTTTGAAATCCTGGTAGCGGAACGCGGTGACGATTCCGCCAGAAGGTTCTTCCTTGGGGGCCTTCGAGTCATTTTTGGGGGTAGCAGAAGTGTTTGCGCCCCCTTCCTTTTCCTTTCGAGCAGCCTCGTTATCTTGTGCCGCAGTCCGGTACCGTCCCGCTCTGCCAGCAATTTGTTTGGTCTCTGGAATTGTCAGCGGCACCATGTCCACACCGTTGAATTTTGTGGTTGTCTCAAAGATGATTCGCTTAATGCTCCTGCGTCGTGTTAGCTCGGACCGGCAAAGGTGTCACGTTAAACCCACAGGTTAAGACCCATTCCAATGGCATCGCTAGCCACTAAAAAATCATACCCACTGTCCGGGTCGTTGAACAGTCGAGCTTGCGCAGCGCGAGTCTCCGGAGGCAGGCCACCGTAGACGATAGCTACCTTCTTCTTCGTCTGTTTCTCAATCCTCGTGCGCAGTAAATGTATATCCTTCACAGTGAAGGTAACAATACAGTCTCCTTTTTCGAGTTTCGACCAGTCGGTGCCAAAGGGCGCCGTATCCATCGACAGCGTCGTTAAGCGTTTATATGTGTTGACTTCAAATGAATCACCCGTCATGGCGGCAATCTCGCGGAGGAGAGGGACTGTCCGCTCCTCGCCGCACACGTGGATCTCTTTTGCCTGAACGCCAAGCAGGGCTTGTGTCCAGGCCCATCCACGATGCGCGTCGCCTATCATCTGAATTTCGTCGAGCACAGCCACTTCAAATTCGTGGTTGAGGGGAACCATTTCAACCGTGCAGGCATAGAGTAGGCCTGCATCACCGGCAGGGGGGGATCTCCGCTCCTCTCCGGTGACCAGGTTACAGTTGAGTGATTTTGCGTTCAATCGCGTATACACTTCATGGGCAAGAAGTCTCAAAGGCCCAGCGTACACGCCGTTGCCTGATTCTTCCAACCGCTTGAGCGCATGGTACGTCTTTCCGGAGTTTGTTGGCCCTACATGACATATGATTTTGCGTGGCGTTGCCCGTGTTCTGGGGTACCATTCGATGGGATAGCGCAAATCAGCCATTGCCTTTTGATTATAGAAGTCGTTCTGGGAGAAAGCCCTCTGCGAAGCGACATGGCCAACAAAGGAAAGCTCGATATTCTTCATGGCGCGCCTTATGCCACCCTTGTTGTACGACCGGGTAATTTGTTCCCAGAGAATGGCTCTTTCCTCATCCTTGGCCACCTCGTTGGGAAGAAGTTCAGATTTAGATTGGGCGGTTGGACCTGCGCCATCGGCGCAAAGCCAATTGTAAAAGCTCTCAAGAGCCTTGTCTTTTTCCTGTTTTGTCAAGCCCCAGGTCTCTAGTTGGCTAACACTCTTCAGTTCGTCCTGCCTTTTTTTGATGTATTCCAACATTCTCTCTTTGCTAAGGATCCCGTCACCCTGCTCTCCAGCTTTGCGAGTGTAGAGTGGGCTACGAGGCCGTTGAGAGGTCCTGACGAATGAGACGGGATTGGCCGTGGGCGTGGGCGCGGTCGGGAGCGTGGCCTTGAGGGTGGCAACATCAATGCCCTGTTTCGCGGCCTCTTTCTCGAGTTTCCGTTCATGTTTGGCCCGGTTTGATTTCTTTTTCGCCTGCAGCTTGTCAGTGGCGCGATGGGACGGTAGGTGTCGGAGTGGAGCGGATACCTTAATGGTGCTGGGATTAAGGGCACGAAGCCATGGAGCAGAAGTGTGCAGCGATGAAGCTGGCTGGGGAAAGATGGGGCGCACGCGGGTTGCGAGGGCGCAGAACAAGCAGAGGCCAGGGCGGCGTTGCATGGTGGTGAGGGTTGCCGGTGGCGGGCAGCGCGCGAGAGGGAAGTTTCCATAGGTACGTAGAGCTCGTAGGCGAACAAAAAATCCATGGACGCGCTCGCGCGCGCGCAGGCGGGGGGACCGCGATGTACATACGCCAACCTCTTGTGCCTTTTTGTTTTGTTTATTTATATACATGTATATGTTTTTCTAACTAGGGATTTGACTCGGAAGGTTATGAATTCATCTAGTTATATTTTATTTGGACTGCTGCTGCGGCCTTTGACGACCTGACGACTTGACGACCTGACGATCGCCGCGCCGGGTCCGTGGGCGCGCCAGCTCCACCACGCAACGACAACCGCCATAAGGAGCTTCTGCTCCTCCACCCCCCGCTCCCGTTCCCGCTCCTTCGCGTCGCTCTAACCACCATGGGCGTCTCAATCATAGATACGCAGCGCGAGAGTAGGCCACGTCCCTTGCCCGTCGCGACACGCCCAAGCTAACTCCAGCCCGCAGTCATTGTCGACACCGTCCGCAACACCGCACGCGGAGAAGTACGTGCCCCCGCCCACGGCCGCCATGGAGCCTGCCTGACCCGTCGCAGTGGAAGGTCCTGGTCCTCGACGAGCTGAGCCGCAAGCTCATCGACAACGTCGTCAACGAAGATGACATCCTCAACGAGAACGTCACCAGTGCGCCCCTCCGCTCCCCGGCCTTGTGCCCACGCCGTCTGACCCAACGCCAGACATCGAGCTGATCGAGGACCGCCGCCCCATGAACCAGGACATGGACGTCGTCTACATCCTCACCCCGCAGCCGCACATTGTCGACTGCATCTTGGCCGACTTTGAGCGCCGCCGCTACCGCAAGACGTACCTGATCTGGACCTCATGTGCGCCCCCAGGCCCCCGATTCCCTCCCGCCCGCTGACCCCTCGCAGTGCTCCCTGGCCCGCTGCGCGAGCGCATCGACAAGTCGACAATGGCGAGGGAGCAGATTGTCCTGTTCAAGGTGCTCAACGTCGAGTACTACCCGCGCGAGTCCCACCTCGTCACCTTCCGCGACCCCTGGAGCTTCCCGGTGCTCTTCCACCCGGCTTGCAACAACCTGATCCGGCGTCACATGGAAGAGATGGCACAAAAGGTGATCGTCTCGTCTTCACGCTCCGCAAGTTCGGCTCTCTAAACCCTTTCGTAGATCGTTTCCCTCTGCGTCTCCTTGGGCGAGTACCCCACCATCCGCTACTACAGACCCAAGAATCCCACCCACGAAGCCAGCGTCCTGTGCTCGCACTTGGCGCGATTCGTGCAAGAGGAAATCGACATGTACGCCAAGTTCCACGAGAATTTCCCGCCTCCTTCGAACCGCCCCCGCGGCGCCCTGTACATTCTCGACAGATCCATGGACTTGCACGCGCCTTTCCTCCACGAATTCACCTATCAGGCCATGGCGCATGACCTGCTTCCGATAAAGGACGGAGACAAGGTTACCTACAAGACGGTCATCAACGAGGGCGAGCCCGACCAAGACGAGAAGGAAATGGAGATAGGTGACAAGGATAGGATATGGGTCGACAACCGCCATCGCCACATGAAGGACACTATCGAAAAGATCATGAGCGACTTTCAAAAATTCATCGACGAAAACCCCCACTTCACTAAGCAGGATAGCGGTAACGCGACGAGTCTGAACGCCATCAAGGACATGATGGCTGGTCTGCCGCAGTTCCAGGAGATGAAGGGTGCCTACTCGCTGCATTTGACCATGGCTCAGGAGTGCATGAACATTTTCCAGAGGCACAAGCTGCCGGATGTGTCCTCGGTGGAGCAGGTAAGTTGTCAAATCAGACGCACTAGGATTGAATAATAACCATACTAGTCCCTCGCCACCGGCCTGGACGAAGACTACCGCAAGCCTAAGAATATGGCAGACCAGCTGGTCCGCATCCTTGACGAGGACAGCATCACCCCTCCGGACAGGCTCCGATTGATCGCTTTGTACCTCCTTTACAAGAACGGTCTTTTGCCATCGGATCTGCAGATGTTGTTGGCCCACGCGCAACTGCCTCAGCAGGATAGCGCTGTGCTCAATAACCTCGATCTTTTGGGCGCTCGCGTCGCCAAGCCATTGAAGGACAACACGCCACCGCCGCCTCCTTTGTTCGCCCAGAAGCAGCCGCCCGCAGGCATGGAGGAAGAGTACGCCCTGTCCCGCTTTGACACCAACTTGAAGCGACTCCTGGAAGAGCATGTTCGCGGCGCCCTCGATCAGCAGGTCTTCCCTTACACCAAGCCGCACACGGACGCCGCCGCCGATCAAGCTGCCGCCGAAGCGAGCGTTGCTGCTTCCTCTCTCCGCTCCGCCAAGCCAACCTGGGCAAAGTCGCGCGTCAACGCCGTCGAGCCTCGCCAGCGCGTCATCGTCTTCATGGCCGGCGGCGCGACGTACTCGGAAGCGCGGGCGTGCTACGAAACCAGCAATGCGACGGGGCGCGACGTGTTCCTGGCGACGTCGCACATGCTGACGCCGCAGCTGTTCCTGCGCCAGCTGGGCGACCTGTCGGTGGACAAGCGGCGGCTGAACATTCCGGCGGACCAGCCGCCCAAGAAGGCGCCGGCGCACCTGTTTGAGCGCGAGGAGCCGCCCAAGCCGGTGGCGCCGAAGCTGCCGCCCCACGTCCAGATGCAGAAGCTGCAGGCCATGACGCCGCCGCCGCCGCCGCCCGAGAAGGAAATGGCAAACATGAGCATGAATGGCGCGCCGAGGCCCGGGAGCCATTCAAGCCCGGCGCACCATGCGCCGCCGGGGGGCAAGCCGGAGAAGGAGAAGAAGAAGAAGCACCATTTCTTCTCGAGCAGGAAGGACAAGTCTTGAGGTCGGTGTCAGTGTCGGTCGGTTCGGTAAACTGCTACTTGTTTGCTTCGGCGAGCTTAATTGGGGGGAGCTTCGAAAGGGTTAGGTAGGTAGGTAGGTAGGTAGGTAGGTAGGTAGTTAGAGTCGAGAGGGGTGAGGTTGTTGTTGTCGTCGTTGTTGGAGGGGTGGGCTTGCATAGCGGGAGTTATCCGGGAGGCGTTCTCTTTTATCATACTATCTTCTCTTCACCGCTAGGGGCGAGCAGCGAGCCTTGATGGCCGCGCCGCCATTTCTCTGGACCCTTTTCTTTTTTCTTTTTTCGATTCTTCTCCTTCTCTCCCACACCTATTTTTTCTTGCTTTTGCTTGCTTGCTTCTTTCGATTTTGGTTTTTTTATTGTAGTTTTTACTTTTCTTTTGATTTTTTATCGTCTTTGCGGAGGATTGCGTTGTCGAAAAATAAAGTCATGCGAAAAGCGCCCTGCGCTCTGCCCTGCTGGTGCGGGGTTGGGTGGGGTGGGAAGGGGAGGGAACCGTCGGTCATGTGTTGTTTTTTTCTCTAATAGGCGAGCTGAATGACAGATGGATACATCGGTGGTTTTTATAACGCGCGCTCGTTTTTCCTTCCGTTTCTCATCCCTCGCTCTCAATCCCACTTTCCATGCACAATCGATTACCGGATCTCGCAGCACAACCAGCTACGCGACAATAATGCCGGCAACAGTAAGGCCATCGGCGGGATTATCATGAACAAGCGGCCCAGCGGCCAGCTTCAACCAGCACTTGTTGTTAAAGCTCGAGCGCACCTGCTGATAGTCCCACGCCACAGCCGAGCATTTCTGCGCGCCCACCTGCCGGTTGTACTCGGCGCAGTAGTCCATACACTCGGCGAAGGAGCCCTGCTTCGTGTCCGCGCCTACGATGTCGCACGTCTCCGGGCACACGTTCAGCCCGCACAGCTGCACGAACGTCACATTTCCTATCGTGTAGGGCTCGCCATTGACGGCGGGGCAGTCGGCCGCGTTGGTGCCGGTGCCGGTGCCGGTGCCTGTGCCTGACGGGTCCTTGGCGCTAGCGCTGGTGGTGGTGGTGGTGGTGGTGGTGGTGGTGGTGGTGATGGTGGAGGTAGTAGCGCTGCTGCTGCCGCTACCGCTGCTGCAAAAAGAAACCCCCGCGTTAACAAGCCCACGCGCCCATGGCGTCTGCGTACGGGCGGTGTTGCTGGGCTGGCTCGCGCGCGTGGTAGTCTTGGAGTTGCTGCTGTTGCTGCTGGAGCGAGGCGGCGGCTGCTGCGTGCTGTTCCAGCTGTTGCTGCTGCTTGTCGTGCACATAAGGCCCTTCGTGCGGAGGAGGAGCAGCGACTTCAGGCCCGTCCATGACAGTCGAGAGGAGCGGGGACAGCGACACCCGCGACGCTGAGCGCGGCTTCTGCGGAGAGGAGGACGAGGGCGTGGGCGTGGGCGTGGGCGTGGCGCTTTGGTGCTGATGTGGCAGTTCCATTGGGAGCGGTACCTACTGTGGCGGCTGGGATTGCGTTGGCTTGGGGTGCGTATAGGCAAGGTAGGCACTGGGCAGGTACGAGGCAGGCGCGGGCTACGGGCGCGCGTACGCGCTTTTATCCAGCTGGAGAGGCGTCCCTGCTGCTGTTGCTGTTGCTGCGGCCGCTGCTATTGCTGCTCCTGCTTGCCGCAAGGCGCGCTTCAGCCTTGGGGGCGCCGTGGCCTTGACATGGGGCACTTTGCGTGCGCTGTGTGACGGGGTGCGCTGCAGCGCGATATTGGCTGCTGCAGGTGTAGTGGCGCGGAAGAGGCAGGTTTTGTGGCCCCGGTTATGTAGGCGGCTGAGCGCGATCGATCGCTGCTGCTGCTGCTATTTGTGGTCGTGGGCACTTGGGTACTGTGAGTTGCGGGTGTGGTTTATGCGGACTGCTTTTAAGTGTTTCTGTTTCTGTTTTGGGAATGGGTTTTTAGTGGACTTTTTTTTTTTTTTTTTTTTTTTTTTTTTTTTTTTTTTTGTCTTGAGTTTTAGTAAATAGGGTGCTGGTGGACTGCTTCGGGAGTTGTGGCACATACCTAGTCACCTAAGATTGAGGTTGGTCACCCCCGTCTAGCAATATGCATAGCTAATAATTTTCTAGTGGTCTAGTGGTGAAGAATATAGCGTAAAGATATAATATTTCCTACTTAGTAGATAACCTTAAGTAAAAACATCCTCACAGTGACGCATCCGCCATCCCCACACCTAGATAGTAACTATATAATAATTGTATATTGCTAATACAGCGGTGAATTAACGCACAATAGAGTTGTTATAATATTTTTCACTGCGTTGAGAGAGGATGAAGCACAACTCTTACGAATATCCACTTTTCTCTCTCTACCCTAGTATATCTCTCACCTAGCGACACCGCAACGTAGAGTCTTAACAGGCGTCATGCGTATATATACACTATACACCCAGTGCAGATAGGTCTTAGCCAACCCAGCACCCAGCAGACGCGGCAAGTCCTCCACGCACACACGCCCTCTCCCAACCCCAAACGCAAACACCCCCATCCCCTCCCCCTCCCCAACTAAGCGAACATCTCCCTCCCCATCCTCCGCTCGACCTCATCCAACAGCGCCTCCAGCGCCTCCCGTCTCCCAAGCGCACTAGCGGCGCTTCCGCCCCCCGAACCGATCACGACGGCTTTTCCGCGCAAGAGGACTTTGTAGCGGCCGCTGGAGCTCTCGGCGTTCTTGGGCGCGACGACCAGCGCGTGGCATTGCGCTTGCTTGGCGTGCTGGCCGGCGGTGCTGGTGCAGGGCGCTAGGGCTGTGGTGACGCGCAGGCGGGGGTGGATCCGGAAGAGCGTGTGTGCGTTTGCTGTTTGTGGGGGGTTAGTGAGCGCAGAGAGCGACAGCGAGCACGCGAGAAGGCGGAGAGGAAGCAGTGCAGTGTAAGTAAAGCCCAAACCCACCTTCAATCCTCCCCACAAGATCCCCCAGCGTAGCCACACACGGCATCGGGCAGCGAGACGTTGTTCTCGACGGTGGTAGCGGGCGCCTGCACGGCCGGGGCCTCGCTCCTCGGCGCGCTGTACGTCGGCGTGTAGCTGCTCATGGTCGAGGGCGCTTTGCCTATGCTGCTGGCGTTGCTGCTGCCGCCGCCGCTGCCGTCGAGGGACGAGGAGGGCGAGAGCGGCGCTTTCGGCTTGTGTGCTGTGGGCGTGGGGGCGGGGGCGGGCATTGCGTTGCGTTGTGTTTGGTGTGGTTTGGTTGTGGTTTGGTTTGGTTGGGTTGGGTTGGTTGCGCTGCGTTGTAGTTGGGGTGTAGTGCAGAGGAGAGGAGAAGAACAAGCTGAGGGAGTGTAGAAGGGGGAAGCGGTAGAAGAGGACGCAGCACAGGGCGAGGAAGCGGGGTGCATTGAGCGGAGCGGGGGTGCTGGAACCATTGGGTATGGCGCTGAGGGGCGTGAGGTCAGTGACGACGTTTGCGGGCGTGGCTACGGAGTTGGTATAGTTGGGTCCGGTGGTGGGGTTGTGCGTCGGCGTGTGTCATTACGGTCTCTTTCCCCCCTTGGGGGGCTTTGCCGGTTGTGCAGATGGCTTTTTTGGTTGGGTTGTTGGCTGGTTTGCTGTCGTTGGTCGTGGGTGTGTGGGTAGCGTGTTGAGTTAGGGGTTAGGCGTGGCCGGGAGAGGGCGTGTAGGCGTGGTGAGGGTTGTTGTCGTGTAAGGTGAACGCGCTTTTGGTATTGGCATTGGGTTCGTATGAACGGATCAAATGTAACGTTTTGGCCGGTTGGCTGTTGATATCCACGGTAGGTCTAAGTGTCTATAACTACACGCCAAGCCGGCCACGACTAAGCCCAAGCACCACCCCATAAGTAGACATCAGGAAAACAAAACGAATCCTCGTATCTCCTGCTCTACAACAGCACCGCTGACCTCGCCCACCGCCTGCGCATGAACGACAACCTCCCTGTCCACATGCACAACTAACAGTCAGCTTTCGCGAGCGTAAAGCTCTTCCGTAAGCCTTGGACGTCGTAACCCCACTCCCCGGCGGATACGTCGCGGCCCTATCCGCCTGACGAACAACCAAGTCGGTATAGTACTGAGAATGTCTGCAATCTTCACTGTATATATACATAAGACGTATATCAAAGCTCTTACTTGCAGATATACTCGGATATGGAGAGTAAGTAGACTTTTATAAGGGTTATTGTTATATCCGTAGTAGTAGCTATACCTTGCCTTTATAGTCGCGTCGGCGTATTTATAGTCGTACTATATATTCGCTAGTCTACTCGCATATACTCTCTAAGAACCAATTAGCCTCCGACCACTCCAACAAGCAAGAAGGAAAAGCAAACCAGCAAAACCAGTCCTCAAACCGAACCCGCAACACATAGTCCAACGACCAACCGTCCCCACGAACAGTAGCGATCGCCGGCAGCCATTCAGCTGCCTAAACAGGGTCTTAAACTTACCTATTCTAGACGACTACATCAACCAATATCGCGCTGCATACCACCCCGTCACTAAACGCATAGTACATACGCAAAGTACCAAAACAGCGGCATAGCGCCCCCAGGGCTGACGCCGCTTTGCGGAGAAAAAGTGGGCATGTCTTTTCAGCTGGAGGGACGGCTAGATAAAAGCACGTACGAGCGCCCGTACCTACCTAGGACTAATACCTATCTTAACGCAACTGCCAGCCGGCACCGCCACCACCGTTAATGGAACCACCAGAGCAGCAGCAGCAGCAGCAGCAGCAGCAGCAGCAGCAACAGCAGCAGCAACAGCAGCAGGAGCAGCAAAGCCCCACGCCCTCCCTACCACAGAAAGCCAATTCGAAAACAGGGATCCCACTCCTCACCCACGCCCCCGGCATGGACGGGCCCGAAGTCGCCGCCCCACACGAAGGGCCATACCCGCACGACAAGCAGCAGGACTGGCACGCAGCGCGCGCGCCAGAGTACTATACGCGAGCGCCGGGGCCGGGGAAGTACGAGTACGACGCGACGTCGCCAACGGCGACCACGACGACGACCACGAACACGACGGTATGCGGGCTAAGGCCCCGCATCTTCTGGCTCGTAGTGCTAGGCCTCGTGCTCGTGGTCGCGGGCGCGATAGGCGGTGGGGTCGGGGGCGGGTTGGCGGCGCGAGCGCGTGAGAGGTATGTACTTACAGTACCTACGGGCGTCCAGCACGCACAGTAGCATGTGCAGACGCACGCATGATAACGCGGCATTTCCTCAGGGCCCGAGACGGCGCGTCCAGCACCGCCACGGACACGGACACGGACACGGATGCAGCCGGCTGCCCCGCCGTCCACGGCGCAACCTATACAACCAGCAACGTGACGTTTGTGCAGCTATGCGGGCTAAATGTGTGCCCCGAGACGTGCGATATAGTGGGCGCGACGACGAAGCAGGGCTCCTTCGAGGAGTGTATGGACTACTGCGCGACGTATAACCGGCAAGTTGGCTCCCAGAAGTGCACCGCTGTTGCTTGGGACTACCAGCAGGTGCGCGCGAGCTTTAATAATAAGTGCTGGTTGAAGCGGGCTGGGATGCCGCTGGTACGGGATGATCCGGCTGATGGTCTTGCTATTGGGGCGGTTATTGTTGCGTAGGGAAGCGGTTATGTCCGTTGTTGTGGTGGGGAAGGTGGGGGTGGAGGTGGGTTGGTTTGTCGAGGGAGTGGGGGGATTTTAGGTAGGCTTACTTAATACGCACCTACTACATGGAACACATGAAGTCCATGAGAGACAGGTGGCAGGCTGTGTACGAGGCGAAGGGATACCAGACCAGGTTTTGATGAGGAATTGATGGAGGATCGAACCCTGATTGATTTGAGTGAGCTGTTGCTGCGTGGCGTGGTTGGTGGGTGGTGAGAAGGTGGTTGTTTCGTGATCGTGCGACTGTGTACCCGAGACGCCGCACTGTAGTGTGGCAGCGCCTGCCACGATCGCTCATATATAAAGCTTGCAGTCAGCATCTCCTAGTGCCAGCTAGGAGATACTGGTTCTACCTTTTGCATCTGGTTGATTGACCCGGCGGTTTAGTGCGTCGCTGCTGCACGACGACACTAGTCTAGTAACTAACCCGACAATCCAACCCTTTAGAAGCATGTAACTTATTTGCTGCTGAGTAGGTACGTAAGTACCTACAAAACTACTACAGTACCTACCCAGTCTCAATCCTTTCTAGGAGTCCGCACCAAGGTATAACCAAACCAAGCCAAGGCAGCAGTCCCGCCTCCCTCCATCCTCCATCCACCATCCATCCAACCATCCAAACAGACCAACCACACCTCACCAACCGCACTCAAACTCAAACCCCGGGAATAAGCTGCTGAATCTCCTCCCCACCATCCCCACCCGCACCCGCACCCCTCCCCCTCCCCCTCTTCAACGCCAAAACCTCATCCTCCTCATTCCCCTCCCCCTCCTCCCCCTCCTCCCCAGCCCCAGCGCCAAAATCCAGCTTCATCAGCAGCCGATCCACGCCCGCGCCGCGCCAGGGCACGTAAGCCTCGTCCTCGACGACACTCACACCCGTGCCCACACCAACCCCCGCCCCCTTCCCCAAACCCACTCCCCCTCCCACTCCACCAGCCCCAACCCCGCCCCCATCACCCTCACCATCCCTCTCCCTCAGCCTCCCCACAAGCGCCCTCAAATCCGCATCCACGCGCTTCCTCGCGCGATCGAGTTCCCTTCCCGCCTCCTCAGCCTCAGCCCCGTGGTCCGCGAGGGCGTCCACAACCCCCGCATCGGCTTCGAGGTCTTGCGCCGCGTACGCGGATTGCAGTCGCCGTGTCAGAGCGACGAGCTCGTCGGCATGGGCCAGGAAGGCGCGGAGTTGGTGGGGGAGCGTGCGGTCTGTTAGGAGGAGGGCGTGCGTGAGCGTGGTCAGGAATGCGCGGTGTGCTGTGGCGAGGGCTTCGGGGTCGTGGGGGGGACGGCGGTCGTGTTCGTGTTGGTGGTGGTGGTGTTGCTGCTGTTGCTGCCGGGAAGGGAGGTGGGGCGCGCGTGCGCTTGCTGCTGCTGTGGAAGATGTGGGCGGACGAGTTGTTGCGCCAGAGCCAGAAGCCGCAGAGCCAGGCCGCTGCTCCTCCGCTGCCGTCGGCATCTCGCCCCCAACGATCCACCGCCGAAAGTGGTGCCAGCTCTCCTGCACCACCTCGCCCTCGAAATAGCTGCCTAGCTCGGAGAGCAAAAACACCGCAGCGCTGCAGGTGGCCCAGACCTTGCGCATAGCGACGGCGCGCCTGCGGGTGCGCTCGCGCCTCTCGCGCAGCGTGCGCTGCCCGCCCGCGGAGTTGCTGTGCGGCGGCCCCAGCGGCGCTGGATAGTCGCGGCGGATGTGGCTCTGGCGCCAGAGGTCCGTGAGGCGGAGATGGGCGCGCCGGATCGCGAGCAGGTACGCGTGGATGGTCGAGTAGACGTCGACTTCGGCGGGGGAGAGGAAGAGGTCGAGCGGGGGCGAGATGTCGAGGGTGAGGGCGGTGGGGACGGAGAGGAGTAGGTCGTTGAAGGCAACGGTGGTGAGCTTGGGCAGCGCGTCGGCGCTCTCTTTGGCGCGGCCTGGTGTGGATGGGCGGGTGGATGTGGGCTTTGAGAGCGAGAGGTGCACGAGGTTGCGTGCGAGGTCGAGGCTCTCGTCCGTCATCTCTTCGTCGTCAATCAGTGAGGCGAGAGACGCCCATGTCCGCGTCAGGACGGCTGTCACTTCTCCCTCTTTGACTAGCACGCCTCGCACGCCCTTACCGGGCTTGTTCTGGTCCGTCCGGCGGTGCCGTAACCGGACACGCTCGTCCGATTCCTCGATCAAAGCCACGGCGAACTCACCCCGGCCTAGCAGGAAGAACTCCTGCAGTAGTGATAGGATCTGTAGAATCTTTGGTAGGGGCAAGAGTTGCTGCAGCGTGTTGCGTGACAGCGAGAGCCGTATCGCCGCGATGGCCTCGGACAGCGCCGCCGAGGACACAGGCACCTTGAGATCGGACAGGAACTTGAGATGGACCGGCAGCAGCTCCAGCTCCGACATCTTGGGCGCCATCGGACCGGCCGCTTTGGCGCCGCGGTTGCGGATCTGGTCGAGCGACCTACCAATAAAGAGGATAGAGGAAGCCGTCCGCACCGAGACAAACTTGGGCAGCAGCTTGCTGTTGGCGATATAGTCGACGAGGCCATCTTCGCCCTGGACCTGTGTGATGAAGAAGTCGCGCGAGCCATGCACCGGCAGCCGGCCGTACAGGACCCATGTGCTCAGCTGGCGCAACCACGCCGTCTCAGCCACCTTGCCCAGCTCCAGCGCCGCCGTCTCAACGTCTGGGTATCCTGTCTGAGCCTCGCGGCGGAGCTTGTTTATCAGGTCGGCCCCCGTGCACTCGCCCTCGCCAGCCTTGCCCTCCTCCGGCAGCATGAAGCCGCACATCCTCCACAGCCACTCTAGCCGCCTCGTCCACCCCTCAAACTCGGCCACGATGCCCGACAGTGGCACGATGTTGTATGCTCCCACGACCTCGGCATCCCGCTTCAACACCTTCTCTTCAACCTCCAGGACCTTGCGCTGGAAGCGCGCGAGCTGCGCGGCCGTGACCGCCGTTGCGACGGCGCGACATATGGTGGACGAGTGGGAGGCAGCAATGAGCTGCGCGCGGTGGCGTATAGAGCGGTGGAGGTGTGCGAGGCGCCCGACCGACGCGAGGAGCTCGGCTTCCGGCGGGGAGAGGAGCGGGAACGAGGTGTTTAGATAGTTGTTTTCGTCGTCGGCGCCGGGCGCGGCGGGGTTAACGGAATCGAAGAGCGGGGACGGGTGGCCGGAGAGGGAGAGGAGGATTTCGTGAAGCATGGCCGCGGGGGAATTTCGACGTCGAGCTCGGCGTCGTCTGCGCTGGAGGCGTTGCGTCAGGCCTGGAGTCGGGCGCTACCGTCGTGGCGTCCTGTAGTGGAGCTTACTAGAAGTCGTAGGGTATGGGTTTGCGCGCGAAGCGAGACTGGAAGAAAATAATCAGGGTATTCAGAAGCTCATAGCGGCACATTGAGACATTCAAGCGCGGGCGTTGTTGTGTATTTCATAAGTTGCTAACAAGCAGATGTTGGGTAAACGTTTGGGTTGACGCGCCGACGCGACTTCCGCTCTCATGCCACGTCACCGCTACCCTACCCGGACATATCATACATAATTCCATTTTTGACCCCAATCCAATCCAGCGCCGTACGCCAACCCCAAATGCCTTCCCTCCCGTTATATCTCCACTACGGCCGGTCCCGCATCGCTCCTATCGCGGTTCTTACCCTTCCTGTACACCCGCTCGTCCTCGGGGTTAAACCCACCATTGCCCCACAGCGCCCACTCCGGCGTCGCCTCACCCATATAATCCTCAGGCTTGAACGGCTCGCCGCTCTCCAGCAGCTCGAAGAAGCGCTCATAGTCAATGAGCGTGCACCACTTGAGCTCGCCATCAGCACCACGGCGACGGAAGCGCGTCGACGCGAGCAGCACGCAGCAGCTGTGCGCGTGTTCGGCCGCGATGCCGTACTCGAGGCCGCGCTCCGCCAGGGCGTCGTTCAGCGCCGTCACGAACGTCTGCACCTCGGCGTAGAAGGGGACGTTCTGCATGGTCAGACCGGCCGCTGCGCTCGTGCTCGTGCCGCAGAACGTGACGCCCTTGATTTCGACGAAGCATGGCAGGCCCCGCGCCACGAGGTCTGCGTACCCGGCCACCTCGTCCTCCAGATTGAAGCCCTTGACGAGCGTCAGCCGGAAGACGGTGCGTTGCTCGAAGCGCTTCTCCCGCAGGATGTCAAGGCAGGCGCAGAAGCGCTCCCAGAAGTCGCGGTTAAGCGGGCGGTCGACCTTGCGCAGAGATTCTTTGTTGGATGCGTCGATGGAGACGTAGAGTTGCGTGACGGGCTTAAGCGTAGCGAGTTGTGCGGGATGTTGCGCGTTGCAGACAAGGAAGGACGAGATGTGATCATCGTGCAGCATCTTTGTGAACTCGTTGATGTATGGGTAGAAGATGGGCTCACCGACGAGCGAGAGAGCGCAGTGCCGGATGCGCATTGCCTCCGCAAAGCGTTCGGCCCGCACGCCTGGAACGCCGCGCATCATCTTGATCTTCTTGTAGTGGCCTTCGGTGACGCCCTTATAGATCTCTTCCGGTGGATCAACCTGCCAGCGCCAGGTGGTACCGACAGGGTTGGTGCCGTGACGCCAGCAGAAAACACACTTGTTGCTGCACGATAGCGATGGAGTGGTCTCCATGCACAGGTGCGACTTGATACCGTAGAAAGAGTATTTGTAGCAGGAGCCACGTCCGCGGAGGGCGGATTTGGTCCAGCGGCAGATCTTGACACCAGAGTGAGATCCGACGATAGTGTAGCCTTGCTTTGTCAGAGCTGAATACGTTGGCGAGGTCTTCGGGACCATTTCCTTGGGAGCAGGCTGGGAGGTTTTCGCTGGCTTCGTCTTGTATGTCGTGAAATCTATCTCCATCGGCTCCTCAGGAGAGGCATCAGTCTGGACCATACGGCCAAGGTCTTCCACGTCGTTGAGATCCGATTTGGGTTTAGTTTTCCGTGGCTTCGAGGGCTGGGTCTCTTCTTCCCCATCCTCATCCTCGGTGTCCTCCTCGTCACTCTCCAATGCGTCTCCGCTTCCAGGGACACCCTCTCCGAGCCCCTTGCCAGAGGCAACGTCCAGCAACACTTCTTGCACACCCAGACGCCACTCCTTCAGGCGCTCTACTACATCGCTCTTGACATCACCAATGCCCAGCGGGAACGCCCTTCTCCTTCCCGTCAACCTGGCCAGCCATTTATCCACGTCTTTACCCTGGGAGCAGAAACCCTCTTCCTCAGTCGCCCATCCTTCCTTATCACCAAACCCAAAGACGGCATAACCGAGGATACCAGACAAAGGCGCCGTGTCTATCCTGAAATCGTGGTGCGTTTCTTGCAAGTGTTCGATGAAGGCATCCAGGGCAGTATCGATGTTGTAGGTCGGGACCAGAACAATGTAGAAATACTTGATATTCTCGTCGGTCTTGGGCGCGGAGATGAAGAAATCGTCGTACTCGATGTAGGAGAGGTCGTGCAGGATAGGCTTCAGCGGAAGTGGAGCATTCTCAGACTCCAGAGCGAGCGCATCAGTCCAGGCACCGAAATCTTCAACGAGCTGCTTCGCCCGCGCCTCTGTAGACCCGCCAAGCGACGAGAAGAACACCAACGGCTGCACCTTGTCGCGGGTTGCGTCGAAGCTGATGGTGCGCTTGGCCTTGGGGACTTTCGACCCCGTCACCTTCTTCGGACCAGGCTTGGGCCGCACAAGCGGCGGCTCCGCAACAGTAATGTCCTCCAAATGATCATCTTCGAGCGGCTTCGCCTTTTCAGGAACCACTCCGTCGGCGTTGACCCATCTCGCCGCAATTTCCAGCGACCGGTCCTTCTTTTCCGGTCCTGCTTGGGGAGACCCGGGAATAGGCGACGCAGACAATTTTTCGCGGTTCGACGTGCGCAGACGCTGCGTCAGACGGATCAAGGTGAGTATGGTGGCGACGGCGAGCAGTATGGGCACGCGCGAAGTGTGCCAGATGGCCAGCAAGTCTACGCAACGAATTCAAGTTAACAAAATAACGGTCGCAAAGAGCCTGGCTGGTCTACTAACCATCTGGCAGAGCCCAGGACAACGTTGTGGCGGCCATAATGTGCAGTGCGCTCGATGCACAATTGTCGATTTTGAGATTCAAAATGTCGCCGCTGCGGTTGGATCGCTCCCCGCGGTGGCGGGGTCTGTCTGACTAGGCGAAATTTCTGTCACGCGCCAGCGTAGATCCTATCACGCCCATCATATGTGCCAGTGGTGAATATCAACAGTCTTTTCTATTTAACGACAAGCATAGACAGCTTTGTACATATGCAGAGAGACAAAGTCCGTGAGGAGGGTGTCTCTACGTCCTATAGTCTATCGTCTTCTGACAAACCTCAACGGCACCCGCTCCTGCATCGCCAAAGTGACCAGTGTTTCCCTGCACTCCAACGCTTGCGCCGCTCTCTTCTTTGCCTCTTTCATACTCCCTCCCCCATCAAGACGCACATCCCATTCCCTCATGACAGCGCTGATGACTCCTACGAACTCCGCCTCGGCAAATTTCTTGCCGATGCAATCCCTGATGCCCTCGCTGAACGCAAGGAATGCCCCTCGCCGCGGCCACAGCATGTGCGCGTGCTTGGGCGCCACGTTGACGCCATTGGTCGGAGGCCGGTAGCTCGCATCTTGAAGCCATCGTGAGGGCCGGAAGACTTGGGCATCTGGGCCCCAGTACTGTGCAGCGCGCTGCACGTTGATACCGTCGAGCAGAATGTTCGTATCCGCTGGTATGTGCAGGGGCATGCCGCGGTAAGTTGCAGTTTGACCGTATATCCCGGCTGATTTCTTAGGAGGTGCGCCAATTGGTGGGTAGAGACGAAGAGTTTCGAGCTATGCTCTGTTAATTCAAAGTCTTGACTTTTGCAGTTTGCAAAGCTGTAGTGGACTTACCATCAAAGCCATTGTTCGCCGCAATTGAGGATAGTCAGACTCGTAGTCAAGATTCTCCTCGTCGGACTTGGATGCGTATGTGGCATCTACTTCGGCTTGTATCTCGCGCTGGATCTCGGGTTCCATGGCAAGCAAAATAAAGGCAGTCTGCATTGCATTTGCTGCAGTCTCATGACCAGCAAGGGTGAAGATGAAGGTGTTTGCTACAATTTCTTCTCTGGTCAATCGTTTACCTGCCTGGCTCGCAGGTGCATTGGCCATACTGCTCAACAGGTCGTTCCCGTCATTGGAGGTACTCTTTTCACCAGGTCTCTTTACGGCGGCCTTGATAGCACTTTCAACATGCGCCGAGAATGCTTCGGGAGCTTTGCCGATGGAACGGAGAGATGCAGAGGGAAGCGCCCGAAGTAACCACCATGGAACGGCCGTCAAGGTGATCAAATCGCGCACAAAGACCCAAAGGACCTCCGAGAGTGTCGTCCCTTGAGCTGCTTCGGAAATTTTGATAGACCGGTCTGTCCAGCCCATCTTGTGACCAAAGCCCGCTTCGGAGAGTACGTTCAGGGCTATCTTGCTGCTATATGTTTTCATGTCGCTAATTGCGATATTCTGTCCAGATGTACACTGCGAGCTAGTGCCTCTTGTCTTGACGAGATAGTTGAGCATAGCTTTGGCCTGGTTCTGTGCCTTGGAAAACACAAGACTGACATCTGGTAAGCATGTTCCTCGTACGACCATAGTGAAGTCTAGGTATTTCTTTACCTATTGTTTCTCTCGCTGAATGAGGGCGCGCAAAGCTTGCGGTGATATTGCCAGGAAGAACCCTCCTCTGTCAAAATCGACGAACCGAAGAGCCGCAAGTGTTTGTAGTATTCTATTGGTTTAGGGAAATCTCTCCAACGGTGCGCAATCTCTACTATTAAGTCTGCGTCTGCTGTGATCAGGACCCGACCGTCCGGATACAAGATCCAGTAGGTATCCGAGCCCAGCTCTTCGCGAGGAAGGGCTCCTTTGTGCTTCCATTGTGCGTCCCGATAGCAGTAGCGTACCCAGTCGCCCCATCCGAACGGCAGTCGCTGAATGAGTGGGTAGATATATGGACCGACGAGCCAAAAAGGAGTCCAGAATCGAGGCTGGTAGCATCGAACAAAGGGGATGGGAGACGTGCCTGTCAACGCCAAAGATTCGCGTCGTAAGCTGAAGTATGCATTTATGGTCCAGCCGAGAATGGATAACAGCAAAACTGCGCACAAGAAAAGGACGAAACTGACTATGTCGTGCAAAGGGATGGCTTGCAAGACATCGTGTTTGACAATAGGATACGAAACGTAAGAGAAAACCGGTGCAAAATGGGTTCCGGAGCGCGTGGAAAACATGATTTTCTCATAGCGGGGTAAGTCTAGGAGGGTCGCCATGATTCCAGGAGTTTGTTACTGGGCATGAGACGGGCGCCGGGCAGTCTTACTTATGACAATGGCAGGTGCCTGGAGATCTCGTAGCCATGGTCTTACAAGTCTCATTGCTTGAATATTGTTTCATGGCTGATCCGTCGGTGAGTATGGCAGCTGGCAAATGCGTAATATGCATGTCGGGCGAGGACCCGGCTCGCTGGAGAACTCCGTTCTATGTGTGACCACGTCGAGTGACTGGTGGCTATTTGCAGCTTGCAGGAACGTGCAGTCAAGACGCACTTCGGAAACTTTGTTCAAGCCGACGGGTGTTCCAGCGAAGAAGCCACCAATCAGCGATGCCGCTCGCCCAAGCCTCAATGTTGGTCCTGCATCAGCACGCTCTAATTCGATTCGCTCAATTCACACAATGATGTCTGCTGAAACTACCAACTGGTTTGTCGGGTGATTATTAGATTGGCCATTCTCGTCTGAGTCAGCAGCTGAAGTGGCTTAGTTCCGACTCCCTCCATCGCCTTGCAAGAGGGGCGTCTGCTCATTTGCGCGGTTCTCAGGCTTTTGTGGGTTAGCAAACGGCAACAAAAATGCGAAACAGGTGCACTCACGTTCTGGATCTCGAATCGTCCAACCACCTTTTGTTCCCTCCTGTCCCTGATCCAGAACCAGATGCCCATGCCCAGCAAAATGCCCTGAAGGCAGCCAGTTACGATATAGACGCCCCACGCGCTCCATCCGGATGCACCAAGGCGCACTGCGAGACTGGCTGCGAATACGAAGCTGCCAGGCGTCTGAATTAGCATCATCGGTACACTCAAGCTGAGCACTTCCTGTAGTTTCCAGGTCGTGTATATCTGTGGAATGTATTGGATCGACGCCAGGCATGTGGCAACGATACCAAGGATATTTGCCCACAGCTGAAGCTGGTTTGGGAATCGCGCAAGCAGCACAACGGATATGAGGAAGACGACAAAGAAGTGCGCGATCGAAAGACCGACTACAGCGAGCGCTTGTTGCCAGGTGTATCCGGCCTGTGGGTCATGCTCGGCGTGCATATGTCCAGAGTGGGTGCTCTCGGCGGCATCCTCACGAGGGAAGAAGACCAAGAAGAGCAGCATGCTGCTTCAGTTAGCCGACATGAACCCCTTGGGCAGCCACGTCACGCCAAGGGCAGCGCGACAACGCACTCACATGAGAAAGAAACAGCTCCATTGTACGCCCACCTGTGCGATACCCAACAGTGCGGCGCCGCAGGCAAACCCACCGATCTCGCTGCAGCAACCAATATCTTCGCGGCTCCGGGGAAGGACCAGAATGTTGGCGATGGCGCAGGTACCGGATGTAGTTCCCAGGAGGACAAACCACGGAGAAAGGCCCTCAGATGAGCGGCGCATAATTATCTTCGCATGTTGAGGGAGGTACGAAACGAGGATACCGCAGAGAATGAAGCTTGTGAGCTGTCAGCGGAGCTTGTGCGCGAAACAAGGCATGGAACGCACATGGAGACTGCAAAGTTACCTATATCTGGGTCGGCCAGGTCTTGACAGTGTTTGCTGAGGGAATCCATGATAACGGAGGGAGAGGGAGAATGCATGTTGGCAGGCTTGGTGCTTTGGTGTTGGTAGGTATGACGAAGAGCGAAGCCGAGGTGTACCTGAACAGCTGACTCGGCAAGAGCTTGGAGCTACCCTTGTCATGAGTCACGCCGCATCAAATGGATGTCGTGGCCGCTTCTGTCTCCAGGTGAAAGGTCTGGTGTTTGCCGCAGACCAGCCGCGCCATTCTCGTCGGCTGCGTCCTCGGGTTATGACATGTTGCTTAGAATTTGGACTTGAGCGAGAACTACGAGCCCCCGTAGTCTGGTCCAGAGCTGTTCTGCTGGATTATGAAGCAGTCGCAACTCCTAGTTACTCGCATTCGTACCTGATTGACCATGACAGCTGTACAGAGAACTCCTGAAACTTGCTTTCGATTATGCTGATGTACATGGGAGACCCGTTGTATGGCGTGGACAACAAACCAGCGCGACTGAATTGGGACCTCGGTGCCTTTGAAGTTGAAAGTCTGTCATCTTCCATCAGCTTCACCTCATGCATTTGTCAAGCTCCAGTTCGGAGCGAAGGTTCCACCGATCGGCGGGGTACCTCAATGCCAATGCGGGCCGCCTGCTTAGGTCAGGCGGTCACGGAGCTCTACCCAGTACCTACGATCGCCTCACCCGCCAACCTCCATCATCCACTTCGCTCCGCAACTCTCTCTTTTCACACAACAAGCTCGGACATTCACATCAGTGTCCGTGTCTTAAACGCCCGCACCCATCCGCACGTCGTCATCCTTCCGACCTTCACGATTCTACCTCACCGCGAAACAACGTCATCATCCACCTTGCCACAACCAGCGACGTTGGACACTGCTGAAAGCCTAGGCAAGCTGGGGAAGAGAAAGATCTCTAACGGGGACCCCGGGAGTCCAGCAAAAAGAGCCATGACGGTACGTGGACTCCTGCAGCCATGCGACAGCGGCGTTGCGGAGCTGTGTCGTCGAAACACGACAAACAAACCCGCCATTCGAACACTCGCTGCAGCTTTCATGCTTCCCCTATAAAACCGGCCACTCTTATGAACAGGTTGCTGACGGCTTACTCTCTAGGACAAGATGCAGGTAGACAGCCCTGCTGTTGCTGCTGTTGAGCAGCTTAAGGACGGCGCCGGTGAAATCGATGAATCTCTTTACAGCAGACAGCTATACGTGCTTGGCCACGAAGCCATGAAGCGCATGGGCTCGTCGAACATTCTTGTTGTTGGCCTGCGCGGCCTGGGTGTCGAAATCGCAAAGAACATTGCCCTGGCTGGCGTCAAGTCCCTCACACTTTACGACCCGAAGCCCGCAAACATCCAAGACCTCTCAGCGCAATTCTTCCTTCACCCTGAGGATGTTGGTAAGCCGCGCGCTTCCGTCACCGTCCCTCGCATCTCCGAGTTGAACCCTTACGTACCCATTCGCGAGCATGCGAGCAAGGACCTCACTTCCGATCTGAACCAGTTGAAGCAGTACCAGGTTGTTGTTCTCACTGATACCCCGCTGCGCGACCAGCTTCTCATTGCCGACTACTGCCACAACAACGGCATCTACATTGTTATTACGGATACCTATGGCCTATTTGGTACCATCTTTACGGACTTTGGAAAGAACTTCACTTGCGGTGACCCTACCGGCGAGAACGTGGTTAGCGGTATCGTCGCGGGCATTAACGAGGATGGCACAGTGTCTGCTCTTGAAGAGACGAGGCATGGCTTGGAGGATGGTGACTATGTCACTTTCTCCGAAGTTGAGGGTATGGAGGGTTTGAATGACTGCGCTCCCCGCAAGGTCACCGTCAAGGGGCCTTACACTTTCAACATCGGCGACTGTTCTGGCCTGGGCCAATACCAGCGCGGTGGTCTTTACACTCAGGTTAAGATGCCCAAGATTATGGACTTCCAGCCTCTTAGCGAACAGCTGAAGAAGCCGGAGCTTATGATCTCTGATTTCGCTAAGTTTGATCGTCCTCAGCAACTGCATGTCGGTTTCCAAGCCGTCCATGCTTTTGCTGAGCAGCACAACGGCGAGCTCCCTAGGCCACACCATGACGCAGATGCGGCGGAAGTCTTGAAGCACGCTCAGTCCCTCGCCGGCCAGGGTGAGGACAAGGTCGAACTGGACGAAAAGGTCATTAAGGAACTGAGTTACCAGGCTCGCGGTGACCTCAGCCCTATGGCTGCTTTCTTTGGCGGTTTGGCCGCCCAGGAAGTGCTTAAGTCGGTGTCCGGAAAGTTCCACCCTATCGTCCAGTGGATGTATCTCGATTCCCTCGAGTCATTGCCTCAGTCGGTCAAGCGCTCGGAGGACCTTTGCAAGCCTCTCGGCACCCGTTACGATGGTCAAATCGCAGTATTTGGCAAGGAGTTCCAGGACAAGCTTGCCAATGTCAAGCAATTCCTTGTTGGCGCCGGTGCTATTGGTTGCGAAATGCTGAAGAACTGGGCAATGATGGGTCTCGGATCTGGACCACAGGGCAAGATCTGGGTGACCGATATGGACCAAATCGAGAGGAGCAACCTCAACAGACAGTTCCTTTTCAGGCCTACGGATGTCGGTAAGCTGAAGAGCGACTGCGCGGCCCAAGCGGTACAGGCCATGAACCCCGAGCTCAAGGGACACATTGTCACTTTGAAGGACCGGGTGGGCCCTGACACTGAGCACATTTTCAACGAGGAGTTTTGGGAGAATCTCGACGGCGTCACCAACGCCCTGGACAATGTCGAAGCTCGTACCTACGTTGACCGTCGTTGCGTGTTCTTCCGCAAGCCTCTGCTGGACAGCGGTACTCTCGGCACCAAGGGTAACTCCCAGGTGGTTCTCCCCGGCATCACCGAATCGTACTCGAGCTCTCAAGATCCTCCCGAGCAGTCCTTCCCTATGTGCACTCTTAGGAGTTTCCCCAACAGGATTGAGCACACCATTGCCTGGGCCAAGGACCTTTTCCACACCTACTTCGCTGGACCGCCCGAGATTGTCAACATGTATCTCACGCAGCCCAATTACCTCGGCAGTGCACTGAAGCAGTCTGGAAACGAGAAGCAGACTCTCGAGACTCTCCGTGACTTCCTGGTCACCGAGAAGCCTCTGTCCTTTGATGACTGCATCGTTTGGGCTCGGCAGCAGTTCGAGAAGCAATACAACAACGCTATTGCGCAACTGCTGTACAACTTCCCCAAGGATTCCAAGACTTCTAGCGGACAGCTGTTCTGGTCCGGCCCCAAGCGTGCGCCTGACCCGTTGAAGTTCGACCCCAACAACCCCACTCACTTTAAGTTCATTGAGGCTGCTGCCAACCTGCATGCCTTCAACTTCAAGATTAATCCCAAGGGTGTTACCAAGGACCACTACTTGAAGGTTCTAGATGACATGATCATCCCCGACTTTAAGCCTGACCCCGGTGTCAGGATCCAAGCCAATGAGAACGATCCCGATCCGAACGCGCAACAATCCTCCGGTCCCGCCGATGACAACATGGAGCTGCAGAAGATCGTAGAGTCTTTGCCGGCGCCCAAGTCGCTGGCCGGTTTCAAGCTGGAGCCCGTCGAGTTCGAGAAGGACGATGACACCAACTACCACATTGATTTCATCACGGCAGCTAGCAACTTGCGTGCCGAGAACTACAAGATCCAGCAGGCTGACCGCCACAAGACGAAGTTCATTGCTGGCAAGATTATCCCCGCCATCGCCACAACTACAGCCCTCGTCACCGGCCTCGTCAACCTGGAGCTCCTCAAGATCGTCGACGGCAAGACGGACATTGAGCAGTACAAGAACGGCTTCGTCAACCTGGCTCTGCCCTTCTTCGGCTTCTCCGAGCCCATCGGCAGCCCCAAGGGCAAATACCAGGGCCCTAACGGCGAGGTGACGATTGACAAGCTCTGGGACCGCTTCGAGGTCGAGAACGTCACGTTGCAGCAATTCCTGGACTACTTTGAGAAGGAGAAGGGCCTGAGCATTACCATGGTCAGCTCGGGCGTCAGCCTGCTCTATGCCAGCTTCTACCCGCCCAGCAAGCTGAAGGACAGGCTGCCTCTGAAGTAAGTAACACGTGACGCTTTTAATTGACCAATTGCTAACGAACCGTGTCACAGGCTCGACCAGCTCGTCGAGACGATCAGCAAGAAGCCCATCCCGGCGCATCAGAAGAACGTCATCTTCGAGATTACTGCCGAGGACAAGACGGAAGAGGACGTCGAGGTTCCATACGTCATGTTGAAGCTGCGGAAGTAGATGGGTACACAGGTCCTCGGCTTATAAATAGATTTGCGATAGCGTAGATTGGAAATTCACGTTTCACGAAGCACTCGGAGTATTTGTTGGATAGTGTATTTGTGTGATGCTGAGGTGTGGTATCGAGCCAATCAGAAGGGGCTGAAAGCACCCGGGGTGGTTCGGCCCTATGGAGCGGCATTGGACCGCATACTTTGTACGGTTGGAGGGATACGTGTTGCTGTTCACATCCCCACGGTGAGTGCTGTCCCGTAAAAGCGAAAGTATGCCAAATCTAATTATTTTATTTGTAGAAGCATGTAGATATCCGTATGGTATCTTCAAACGGCTCCCTACAGATGTTGCTCAGAGGTGGGTTTAGAGGCTGCGCTCGTAATTGGACAAGTTACTTACGAGGAGCAAATATGCAAATTGTACCATGAGCCCCTCTGACCGTTGTAACTAACTACGGCTTCATGTCATGCAATCGCAAATGCAAAAACAAATGAAAGAAAACGAGTGGAAGCCCATCTGCTGACCTAGCTTGGAAATCAGAATCAAAGTTGGGTTCCGCACGATTTGCTCGCTCGCTGGGTACTGCTACATAAGCAAGAGCCGGGGCTACGTCGCTAGTTAGAATCGGCGGGTGAGCACTCGTCCCTCGTACGTCTCATAACCCTGTACATCATCGCTCGCCCGCTCGTCCGTCCTCTCCTCCATCCACCCAAGTCCGCCGCTTCTGACAAATTGATAACGGCCGTTGTCGAGCCTTTCCCGGGACTCCGCGTGTGGCGCCGGTTGGTAGTAGGATCGGTAATGGTCGAAGGGGCTACTGACAGCTGCGCCGCGCCTGTGGAAGCAGGTGTTGGACTGGCAGGGCGGGAACGTTCTGTCGAAGTGCTTGGTCTCGCGCACGTAGCTCGTGTCCGGTTCTGCGTCCTGTGCCGGTTGCGGGTGCGACTGGTACGGAGTGTTGGTTCTGTCGACTGGGCTGAAGTTGGCGGATGTGTTGGGCAGTCCCATCAATATATCTGCGATGCCTGGGAGGGCCTCGGTCTGCTGAGGGTAGAACGGCTCTGAGGAGCTGGATGCCGGCGTGTGAGTGACATTCACTTCCTCCTCCTTCACTTCCTCCTCCTTCACTTCCTCCTCCTTTACTTCCTCCTCCCATTCCTGCGCGTGGTATCTCTCGTACGGTTCGGGGCTGCTGCGGGCAGTCTCAGATGGCAGAGTCACCTTCGGTCGGAAGACCTCGGCCTGGGGAGCCGGGAGCGGCTCATCTAAGATGTACGGATGATGGGGCTTCGGTGGGAACGTCTTGTGCCAGCGCGTCTCGTCCGGTGGAGTGTCTGGGCGGTGTGAGGGGAAACGCCATCCTTGCGGGCTGTAGGCCGTGGGCGATGCACGAGGACGCTTTTGTAGTGGGAATGGAAGTGGTGAGGGCCTGGGTGAATACTTGCTGTAGCCTTCGCTGTAGTCGTCGCGCTCGCGTTCACGCTCGCGTTCGCGCTTGCGCTTGTGCGGCGGGGTGCTATGGAATGCGATGGGATTGCTGTAAGTACCGCCTAGCGAGGTATCGTTGTCGCTGTTGTAGTTGATGTGGTTGGTGCTGGTGGTGCCAGTGTTACTGATGTTGGCGCTCGCGTTGGCTTCACCTTTGACATTGATGCCGTTGGTATCGGCAAAATATGTCATGACTTTCTGAATGACAGTAGCCAAGGGAACGAGGACAGCGCCCGTGTTGGGGTCGATGTTGTACCTCGAGCCGAGAGCGATGAGAGGTTCTGACATGGTGGGTTGTTGGCGCTGATGCTGTGTCTGCGTCGTTGTCTGTCTCTGGATCTGTGGTGACGATGGAGTGAATGGTATTGGAGTTTGACGGCCGATGGTGGCCGAGAACATGCTATTTGAGGACATGGTGGTTTATGGATTTGACTTTCAACTGCCGGTTGCTGTTGATTCGGGTCAGTTGGTTTGAGTTGTGGAAAGAAATACTTAAGGTCTATATATACTGAAGGAAAGGTGGAAGAGCTCGCTTAACGTTGGTAGCGAAGGGAAAGTGACTGAAGAGAAATATGAACCGGTCAAAAGGTGAATGGAAGTGAAGCATATGTGTCTTGGTACAATAGTGACATCACTCGGCAAGTGGCTCAACCACTTCTTTGAAGCTATGAATTGAATATATCGGATCGCCGTGAATAACGGTACCTAGTGGCCTAGGTCTTGAATTTTTTTTTATCTACGTACATGACTTGGTTTTTCGCATTTTATATTTGTTCTTTCCTGCTCTTATAGAAATACTTGATTATCCGTGATCTTTTACCATTTCAGGTATACTTATACCTTTGATTAATTATGTTTTTGTATTATTTCTTATGTTCCTATGCTTTTGAATATCCGTATATTTACGCCTTTCTAAATAATCTTATACTTGAGTGACATTTTAATTTTAAAGCTACTTAACAACCATCAACAGTAGCATTTTATTATTTTAGCCACCTAAAGTGTACCCGGTGAGTATACCGGACTTTACATATCATGTGTTCGAGAGTCCGGCAAAGTAGTCAAAAATCTTGTGCAAATAAGCGACGGAGAAGCGCTACACCGGTACATGCAAATGCGAAGAATCAAGCTTCTAAGCCGAGCCTAGATAGTTCTACTTCCAGATCACTGAACCTAACCGCTTCTACAGCCCATACATCTCCTCATTAAGTACCATTACCCAAAACAGCAACCCGCGCTCTCCTTACTTCCATAGCACGCACACTGCACATACACATCACCCGCCGTCACCGCCCCGCGTACATATGTATGCAGGCTGCAAACCAAACCCAAAGCCAACCCCAAATCCAAGCCCAAGCCCAAAGCCTCGACCCCCCCGCTTCCCCCCTCACACCACAGTCGTCACAGCCCTCCATCACCGCACAACCTACATACACACACACGTACAGATATTTATGCATGTACGTAGCCGCCCGCTGACCTACAACCCCTGCTGAAACACTCCCTACATACGCGCACAGCGCCTCACCGAGTCAACGCCACGCCACCATCACCACCGTCACCAGACTCAAGCAGCTCGTTCCGCCGCCTT